GAAATAAAGCTATATTATTATTATTATTATCTGGGTAAATAAAATTTTCTCATCTGATTGAGCTGTATAATTATATAATTGTAAATAAAAATGATAAACATACATAAATATCAACAAAATAAAATAAATGCATAAAAAATACATAAATAAATAAAAACCCAACCAGATGGAAGCCCTCGGCAGGGGAGACCAAACGGCCGAGGGTTGGTCCGGACGATGCGGTACGCTATCGAGGAGCACCGCCTTCTGCATTTGAGCTTAGAGCGGTCCGTCACGGAGTCCCAGTCGCCTCAGATGACCCGAGAGGCTGACTGGGATTAACCCGTTCGCAGAAACGACTACAGGTATAATTTCGGCTTATTTACTTCGGTTATTATTATTATTATTATAGGCATTCCCTATAGATTGTCATAAAAGGGATTTTACTATAGTTGCCAGTTGCCACGCTTGGCAGGCGGGTTCTAAACCGCATATTTTATAATTTTCGGTTGTAATCAGGAAGAAGCTGCTACCCATCTCCTGTTTTGAATTTTCCTCTGTCATCTCTTACGACACCCAAACGATGATATGAGGTAGTGGATATTGTTGAGCCATAACGATCCAATTTTTACTTTATATATTATTATAAAGTTTACTTATTACTTACTTATAATATGGTTACTATTACTTCTCTACGTAATATTATAAAACAAAGTCGCTTCCCGCCGTCTGTACGATTATATATTTTAAACTACGCAACGGATTTTGATGTGGTTTTCAGTAATAGACAAAATGATTTAAGAGAAAAGTTTATATGTGTAATATATGCGTATTATCTATACATATAATAAAACTGTAAATAGCAGATGTCTGTACATTTTATATTTTTGTAATAAAAGTGATTGAGGGGTACTAAAAATAAGTAATTAAATACATTTCTACCATTTTTAGAATTTTCTGTCTGTCTGTCTGTCTGTCTGTTTGTTTGTTAACGTATCACGTATAAAGTACTAATTTATATCATAAGAATTGTTAAGGAAATTATAAAGTGTATCTTCGGGTTACATTTAGTCCTTATTTCATTAAAATCAGTTCATTCTATCAAAAGTTATGATAAATATTCTGAAGTATGGGTAGGGAAGTATAGGTACGAATTTGCTCAACGGTAGCTTTGTTTGAGTCATCAAGTGCATTTTAAACTAATATCATATCATAAATCATAGTTAAATTATGTAAAATAATGATATAATTATGTGTATCTAAAACGCAGTAAACAAAAGTATTAAAGAACGTATTAAATATATTATACAAAAATATATTAACCTTATTAACTAAATCTGAAGCACAATAGTTAACCCATTTCTTCGATAGATGGTGGTGTTGTGAAAATGTTATGCAATTGCAATGTAGTTTTTTCCTGTAGATGAGTTTTCATATTTACTGCTAATCTTTATTATATTACTCGCTGCCCTACTGCGTGTTGACAAACTCAATTTATTCTTTACCGCCGAGTACTCTATGTGGTAAATCAAATTTTAAAAGAGCTATTAACAATTGCGTTGGTTTTGGCGAGAGTCAAACTTTATTTTTTGCTTACTGTGCAGGCACTGATTTATAAGTTCTCTTGCGTTTTATATAATGTTTCAATCGCGTCAATTAATCTCTTTTATTTTTAGAATTGATGTTAGCAGCGCCATCTCTCTTTAAATATATACATATAATAAAAATGATGATAACATGTTGTGTCTCTTTCTGTACATTGTATATATATTTTGGTGGCTAAAATCATTATGGGGAACTGAAAATAATTAAATAAGAACATTTTATAATTTTTAGAATTGTCTGTCTGTCTATTTGTCTGTTATTATATGAACGCATCACGTCTAAAGTAAACATCTTTTATTTTCAAAGAAATCGTTAAGAAAATCATAAAGCGTATCTTCGAGTTATATTTAATCTTTGTTTTATTAAAATTGGTTAATTCTATCGAAAGTAATGATTATTATTTTGAAATGTAGGTTCGAATTTGTTCAATGGCGCCATAAAATCTCAGAAATAGTAATAAAAAGATTTGTGTGTAAAAAAAACGTTCCATAATAATTAATATATTTATACTTAAAACACAAAAAGAGATTTAAAAAGGATGTTTTCTCACACAAAGGACGTAATAGATGGAGTTGTACAAATTACAAACTTTTCTGAATTGCTGTGTTGAGATTTTTCGCCGATGAATCGTATTGAGACTTACTGAAGAAATTTGTAACCATCGAAGCCATACAACGGAACCCGACCAAAAATAAAAATTTTGCAACGAAATGTCGTGATATTGTATTTATAATATACGCAAAATCAGTACTGCCATTTTAGCACTTTGGGAACTAGATTTAGCCCTTTTTTGGAATGTATAGCGCGCATTTCGTAATTTTAGCACCTAGCTTAATCCAGCGCTTTTTGGTGTATTTAGCACACATTTCAATATTTTAGCGACTAGCGGGTTATTAACTCTTTTATAGCATCACTGTTAGTCCACATTACCGATTATAATAATAATGACCTTTATTATTTTTTCCCACAAATAGTACATTGCAGTTTATCTTTTTCAAACATATTTTTTCCACAAAGCAAAGAGCATGGGAGACGAGTCCAAACTAGGATACCCTGTGCTATGGATCTCCTGGCTTCCCCTTTAGGATGATCAACTTGATTTTTTTACCGACGACTATAAGCGGGGACATCCCTTTTATAAAAGTTTTCGTTCATGGTTTTGGCAACGCATTTATTTTGCTTTATTCAGTTTCAGTCAGTTGCTTAGAGCACAGCTAAGTTAAAAGTTACTTAGAAGTTATAACACAAAGAAACTGTGTAGCAACCGCAATCAGATGGTGACATCTGAAACTAAGTTGCGAAATACATTGCACTTTAAAACAATTAATAACATTTTTATTGTTCGTACAGTACTAACTACTGTTGACAGCAATTGCCATAATTATAAGTCGATGTCCTGCGAAGTATTGATACATCAAAAACATATTGCCAGAAAAAAACTTAATGTTGTTTTCTTTATTATGATTATATAAAAAAACACAAACTTTGTTTGTTAACTACAAACAAAGTTTGTATTTTTTAGCGCGAAATCTAGGGCTTTTTTAAAGCGCTGTTTTCATGAAATCTAGCGCTTTTTGTGTTGTCCTAGAGCTGAATGAGTTTTTTTTTAGCTGGCAGCACTGCCCAAAACCCTCTATTAAGAAGTAACTTTCCTTTCAGTTTTAAGCGCGTTCAGTTCCCAGTTACAGTGAGCGTGTGTTATGCGATGACCGTAAATAAAGCGCAAGGTCAAACTTTACGCGTTGTAGGAGTGTACCTCAGTACTGACTGTTTTGCACATGGCCAACTCTATGTTGCTTTTTCCCGCGTTAGTAGCCCCCGTAACCTTTTTGTGTACACCCCGGCTAAGCCTACTTCTAACGTCGTTTACACAGAAGCTCTATCATAAACGACTTAGAACTTTGATGATAATGATTTATTTAGTTACCACTTATTGATACAGTAATAAAATAAATCGTTTAATATTCTTTTACCTAAACGACAAATTCTTTATGTAAAACCTGTATACGCGAGCTACGCCGCGGGCACAGCTATATATTATATAATTCTTCTGTCCATGTGTACGTGACTGAACACTTTTGACGAAGTTTTGTGTGTGTAATTAAGTTGATTAGAGAATGTTTTAGATTCACAATTGGATCCAGTAGGTGGCGTTGTTGTCGAAAACCAGAAATCAACCATGCGAATCCGGGGCGGATCGGAAATAATAATAATAATTATTTTTTGTACTGCCTCGTTAGTCTGGTGATTACAAATGCGATTCGTGATCCCAAGAGCCCAGGTCCCAAGACGGGACAAAATCAGTCAGTCAAAAAATTATCATTAGCAGCACGGAGTCAGGAAGTTGGCGGTGTTTCACCCTCGTGTCCCGGAATGCACGTAATGCCGTTGGTCCTGTGCCTGATCTCTCTCCGGTCGTGTCGAATTACTGTTTCATCGGACTGTGAGATTGAGGGAATAGGGTGCACCTGTGTTTGCGCATAAACTTGGGCACTATAATCTTGTGCAGGTCTTCATTGAGACTGATCGCCGTGACCGGAATCCCGTCCAGACCAGTCTAGACGACATTATTATTAATTAATATTTTTTAAACGTTTGTAAAGTCCCACATTAGGATTTGGGCATAGTTGCCACGCTTGGCAAACGGGTTAGCAGCCACAGTTTTTTTTTTATAGTTGTTTAGTCTATAGTTGTTATTGGGAAGACACTGCTGCCTATTTCTTGGGTTGTTTCCCACTGCCACCTCTTGGCAGAACGAGACGATATGGGGGTAGTGGATATTCTTACACCGCCACTACAAGGTACTAAATATATTTAAAAGTAAAAATACAGATTGAAAATACATACAACAGTCTGCGCTTCGAGGCCCACAGAATCCGATTCTATATTTTTTATAAAGATATGCCTGTTGTGTTGTATAATTGTACATTAGTAATCTTTTCGCCCTCTTAAAACTCTCTCAGAAATGAGAGGAGGTCTGTGCCCAGCTGTGAGACGTATAAAGGCTGTAACTTTTTTTTTATAGGATTGGGTGACAAACGAGCACACAGTCCACCTGATGGTAAGTGGCTACTGCGACCCATGGACATCTACATCTATCCTCAATAAAGACAGATGCAGATGCGTTGTCACCCGTGAGGACTAAGATGGAATGCCTCGTTGCCAGTAAAAAGGGTCTCCGGTTTTATAGGATAAGGGGTGACAAAAGACACCCTTATCCTATAAAAAATAACCATAACGCAGTTTTGGAGTGATCCCCACGTGGCAAACGCTTTCCACCAGACCTACAATCAAATCGTGGATGTAACCGATGAGAAAGGAGGAATACAACACCACCTTCCACACGCTTTAGACGAGAACAAACAAGTAAATCAAAGAACAATAATTTTGAATAAACACAATTTATTTTACAAGAATCAATCGGTCCCAACAGAAGCGTCTGCTTTAGGCGGTCGTAGTTTCTCCAGTAGTGGTATCGCCACTCCCACCAGTTCGTCCCACGCCGCCAGACGCCGGCATGGTTCGCAGCCACATTCGTCCTCGCCCAAGGTATCCCCTTCCTCGAAACCCAGATCCTCGCCCGAATGTCCCGTGCGTTCCCAATCTTCGTCACCAGACCCGTGGTACAAATCTTCACTTATACTTATAGCTTTAGCAATTGCAGGTTTGGCGCCAGCAGTACGATAGGTTTCACTGAAATCCGTCCCATTGTTGTTCTCTATGTCGAATTTTACCTTAAAGGGAAATTAATTTAATTATGTTTTTTTTTTAGTAGAATAAGAGTGACAAATAGTATATAGTATAAATAGTGATTTATACTCAATTAAGAATCAAAATGCAAATGCGTTATCACCCCTTTTTTTTTTTTTTTTTTTTTGCGGATGGAAAATCATCTAATGACGCCTTTCGCTGTGGGTGGAGCGGAAGGGAGTGTCAGACTTTTACTGACTAAAAACCATCCGTGTTCCTTCAGTGCCCTTACGTTCCGGAGCCGCGGTATCTCTTTCGAACAGCCCGCAGCCCCGGCAGGCGTCGGCCCTTGCGGGCCCCTTCACGCTGCTGACAGCTCTTTGAGGCGCGCGTGGAACAAAACGCGCCGTCGACACGGCCTGTCGTCGTTAGACGGACAGACGGCGAGCTACCCATTGCTCGCCGTCCACAGGCCCGCGCCTACGGTGGTCGGGGGCCACGACGTAGCCCCCGATGCGTTATCACCCCTGAGGACTGAGATGGAATGCCTCGTTTCTAGTAAAAACCGGCCAAGTGCGAGTCGGACATGCGCACCGAGGATTCCGAACAAATCCGTAGGTGTTTAAGTTTAAAATTATTAAAAATATTTTTATTGTGTTATGTAACTAAAAATTTATGCTTTTCGCAATTTTTCCTTTATCTGTGCGTTATACGTTGCTTCGTACCAAATTTTAAGATTCTGAGTTCACGGGAAGTACCCTGTAGGTTTTGATTCCCTTGCAAGTGTCGAAGATTTGCGGCCTAAACGGCTGCATCTTTTGATTGCGTTGGCTTAGAAGTTTGATTTTTTCATAGCTTCAAAAGACGGTAGACTTGACTATTTGATATGAATTTCAGCTTGATACCTCCACGCGTTCCTGAGAAAAAGGGTCTTGAAAGACAGACAGACGGACAACAAAGTGACCCTATAAGGTTCCGTTTTTTCCTTTTGAGGTACGAAACTCTAAAAAGGGTCTGCGGTTCTCTACACTCACCATGATAATATATCAAAACGTTTAATTGGTGTTTGAATTCAAATTTCTTGAACTGTCAAGTGACGTTTAAGGCGAATCCTTAATAGAACAACAAAGTGCGTTGTCGAACTGTGAACTTTTACGGTCTAACGTCTATTGTACTGCGAAACTTCGATCGCAATTCAACTTACTAGCGTGGCAATAATATCAAATCGTCCCTACTACCTCTCATGCGAACATAATAATTATAACTTTTAACAAAAAGCAAAAACCGACTTCAAATTGCGAAAAAAGATGTTATTTAGTTTTTTCTCCTAATATGGGACCACCCTTGAAGTATAACCTATTTAATAAAAAAAGAACCAGCAAAATTGGTTCACAATCTGCAAAGATATTATCAGATATCGTAACATACATATGAAAAAAATCATGCACTCGAATTAAGAACCTCCTCCTTTTCGAAGTTGGTTAAAAATAAAGAAAAATATTACTTGTATAATAAAAATCTTTCCTATGTAAAATTTAAATGTTCGTTTATTCAAAATCTCAAATCTCCGAAAGTTATTCACAGATTTTGAATTTTGAAACCTTAACACAACGTTGAAATCGAGTATGCGTGTTTATATACATATTTTTCGAAAAACGGCGCCATCTGTTGAACGTAAAAATATTCGTAAAATAGGTATTTTTGCAGTCCGTTATAAGGAACGGCTGGATCTCGGTATAGAGCAAGATTAAAGCTATGAATAATTAATAATAAAAATTTTGTACAACCGAATTCAATGTAAATTATTAAGAATAACTCCAAAGAAATTGGCCAGACATTATTAAAATTTATATGGAACCACATGTGAAGCACCAGCTTTGAAAGAAGAATCATCGAAATCGGTTACAATACATATACAATCGGATACAATAATCAAATTATTTTTATATAATTGTATTTGTAAGAGTCGCTCAGGGGCTAAGTGCTCGCCCTAAATTGCATACGCGAGCAACCTGAATTTGATTCCAGAGGCACGACAGGTGCTAGACGGCGATCGAAAACATTGTGAGGGAACCTGCATGGCAGAAGAATAAAACTTTCAAAAACATGTAAAGTTCGCCAACACGCAATGAAGAAATCCGGCTCCATGCAAATACTCCATACGCTCTCAGAAATGAGCAGATCAGTGCGAACAGCAGCGAGTCATTTAAAGGCTGAAACTTAGTTTTTTATAGTATTTGTACTCTACCTACATCTCTACATTACTCACGTAATTGCGTTTGGATATTTCCGGATCACTCGCGCGCCGTTGACCAACACGCGACGCCTCGCACGCCGTGAAAACTGAGTCATCGTCTGGCAAAAAAGATAAACATAAATACTTATTTAAAAAAAAAACCCTATTAAATATATGTTGGCTTATTACATTGTCACGTTTATTGATAAAAACAAATTGATTATCATTTATTTATTTCTTATATATTTGCCGCGAAGTAGTACCTATATAAATTATTATTAAACGAACATATACAAAAAATGTATATATGAAATACGTATACATATACATTTAATTATATATTTTTAAACCATAGTAAAAATTAAAAAGCAAAACACACCAAAAATACTGGCTGGAAAATTATCGTTTCTATAAAATTAAAATAACAAAAGGTCTTTAATGATAGACGTTTATAAAAAATACTAAAACAGATATTTACATAAAACAGTCAATATAAGCTAAAAAGAGTTGTTGACCCCGACGTGATTTGAACACGCAACCTTCTGATCTGGAGTCAGACGCGCTACCGTTGCGCCACGGAGTCTGTTGATAGACGATCGAAATAACGGTTGTTATCTTAGTGTATACATACACTAGTACTACAAAGTAAAGAGTAAGGCCCTAGTACAATACATTATTGTAAAATATTGTTGGTTGGTATGTTTGGCAAATGGGAGCTAGGCGACAAAAGGTGTAAGATTTTTTCGTCACTACCCCTTGTGTCATAGTGTATTTTATTTTAAATGACGCTTCATTTTAATAGACGCTAATAATTTATTTATTTATATTTGTTAATCAATGACATAATACGTTTATCAATAATAATATACTATGAAATGAGCTTCGTTGCAACCGAGTGTTTCACGACAGTCACGCATGTTTTTTAATATATTAGAAAACATATTATGAAGTGTCAGTTTTCGAAATATATCTTCGATCAGAAGTAAGGTAAAGATAATTGTTTTTTTATAGGATAGGGTTACAAACGAGCAAACAGTCCACCTGAAGGTAAATGGTTGCTGTGACCCATAGACATCTACATCTATCCTCAATAAAAAATCAAAATGCAGATGCGTTGTTTTCCAGTAAAAAAGGTTTCCGGTTATCTACACTCACCATGCGAAACACAGCAGTGTTAAGCTGCTATTTTACGCTGGTATTCTGTGAGAGCGTGGTCCTTCCCTGGTCGGGTCGACCCATTCGTGCTACAACTATACTACTAATATAGCTGCATGCAGCATGGCTTTACCACGTATAATAACGTAATAAATTTTATACATGCAAACACAATAATTTACGGTGTATCCTACGTTGATAACTTCTGATATAATATGTCAAAACGTTAACACCAATAAACTATATTTGAATATGAGGTCATGTAAAGTAGAATTTTTATATATTATGTTAACATTCACCAACGTTCAAAAAAAAAATGTACGCCATACTAATTAATATGTGATTCGTCTTGTAGAAATTATTTTATATTTTAAATTTTTGAAGTCGGTTTTTACTTTTTAATTATTTTACGGTTTTGTGTGATCTAAAGAGTATCACAAGTTAAAGGTAACAACTGGAATGTCGAACTAGGTGTTCCATCTTTAAGGGTGGAATTTTGTCTTAAATATGATAATATATAATTAAATTTATTTGGCGCCAACTCTGAAGTGAATTTAAAAAAAAAAGAAAAATTTAAATTGGTTTAGCCGTTCTCAATTGGCAGCACCACACCAGTATGCGTAATTTAGGGCGACCCCCACTAGATGGAGTGACGATCTGGTTGCACGTGGTTGCATCATGGTTGAGGAGCTGTAAAATTTTTAAAGTGGGAGAGCCAGGCTGCAGCTGTTACATTATGGACGTAGCAGAAATGTGACGGCTCGACCTGGGTAGGACCATGCTCCCAGAGAATATCAGCGTTAAATAGAAGCTTAATGCTGCTGTGTTTAGTATAGTGAATGTAGAGAACCGGAGACACTTTTCTGGACACGAGACATTCCATCTTAGTCCTCGTCCTGACAACGTATCTGCATTTGGATTCTTAATTGAGGGTAAATATAGATATAGTCTATGGGTCACAGCAACCACTTACAATCAGGTGGACTGTGTGCTCGTTTGTTATCATATACTATTTAAAGAAAACGTTCAGTAGTGGAATTGTGAAGGACTGTAATGATGAAGATGATCATGATGGATGTAGGTACGGATGGATAGACGGATGCATGTATGGTACGAGTATTTACATTGAAAATGAGTTGTCGTTATGTTCTTTTTTATCCCTGGAGGAGTATCATAGTATAATATACAAATCTATAATATAAAAATGAATCGCTGAATGTGTTGCTAAGCGCAAATCTCGAGAGCAGCTGAACCGATTTCGTTAATTCTTTTTTTATAATATTCCTTGAAGTACGAAGATGGTTCTTACGGAGACAAAAATTTAAAAAATTGCCTGAAAAACTCTAAAAACAACAGTTTTCTATATTCCCATACAAAAGATTCGTAATATTACTTAAAAGTCATTTTGAACTTTAATACCATATCATAAAGTTTAAGTGTTAGTGGAGGGGTTCCGGGAAGGCAAAACAATATTGAGTGACGTTAGTACCGTATAAATATTGACGTCAATATTTTTCAATATTTATACGATGGTAACATTATTCAAAAACAAAATTAGGGTTCCGCGCAAAAAAATTGATATCCATGAAAGCGTAGTAAATTCCACGCGGGTAAGGTCGCGTGGCACAGCTAGTACATAACAATTCCAACACCTATATTATGATTGCAGCAACACGGGGATATGGTATGGGTCTGTAGGACGACTCTCTTATCGAATACCAGTATAAAATAGCAGCTTAATGCTGCCGTGTTTCGTATGATGAACGTCGAGAACCGGAGACCCTTTTTACTGGTAGCGACTTTTTCCATCTTATTCCTTAGGGGTGATAAAACATCTACAATTTCTTTTTAATTCGAGTACAGAACAGAGAACAGAGTGTCTATAAGCTACAACATCCACTTACCATCAGGTGGAATGTGTGCTCATTTGTCGTCTTATCATAATTATTTCAAAAGCAATTATGTGTCTTAGGGATGCACTCCAACGAATGTTTAATAACAGTACACTGCAGTAGAGTTTCCGTTTACAGCCCTAATATGGCCCTAAAATATTTTACAACAACAACTTTGGAAAGTTGCGAAAGCTAATTGCATTTTAATAACTAATAAAGCATGCGGTTAACACGCGATTCATGGAATACTACTCCATTTTATTACATTGATAACAACCAGCGACTGACTCATTGCAAAACCAAATATTGACCACACAGTACCTAAATACAGTAAGACTTTCGCAATTATAACATTTACCTACATTTTTGCTTAACACAATTGAGAACACAGATTAGGTACAATTACGCAAATTAGAACTTTACCAATTCCTTATCGAAAAACCCTTAATGATTGAATAAAACTACTTTTACGTATTTTATCGCGTTTAATTATCTTGCCAAGGATGATACGTGAGGCTATTGAAATTAAAAAACATCCTAATTTCAATAGAGAGGGAGGCTGGGTACTACCACCTGCTTGGGATCCTGTAATTAATATAATTAAAACTAAACCCAAGCATACCACTGTAAGACTTCACGATACATTAAGTTCATTCTGCGTAAATCGGACCAAAATTAATAATTAAAAAAGCTGAAGGTACTCGGGATTAACTATGACCTCGGGACGTCAATCACCTCAGCCCCCGTGACCACAGAGTACCTTTATATATACTGAAACCCGTGACCATGGGTGCTGGAAAGCATCCAAAACGTCGGGAATTAATAAAAATAAGCAAAATAAATTAATTAAACGTGATGAAATCCGTGAAAGTAGTTTTATTCAACGAAACCCCCTTTTTACGATAAACTAAAACTTTCATTATAAAACAGAATTTAAATTATTATGAAAAAAAAATGGAACAGTGAATTAAAGATGTGACTTATTGGACTACGTCTGAAGCAGCTGACGCTTATCTACTATACATATTATAATAAAATCGTAAATAGGTAATACATAAATAAATCGTTTTTTATCTGTTTGTCTTGCTTGGCTAAAATGAAGCTTGGGTTTGTTTCATTTATATTGGCTTACAAAAATAAGTTTGGCAATTTAAAGAAGTATTTAAAGAAGACGAGTGCACAAGTCTGAAGAAAAACGCTTTTCAATTGCTTCGTTCGGCTTGCACTGACGTAACGACTAGAAAAAATGTGCTATTGTAAATCGGATTTTGTTCACAATTTCATGGGCTTTAATTTTTTTTTCGTGCAACCTTAATTAGTTCATAAAAATAAAAATAGTTTTAATTACTCCTTATAATATCAGCTATCTGCTAGCGAACGTCCCGTCAAAATTGGTCCAACCGTTTCGGAGATTAGCCGGAACAATCAGACAGATATTAAAAAAAATTAAAAATTCTTATTTTGACATTACAAACGGTCACTTTAATTTCATTTATTTGTATAGATTTACCTAAAAACAGTGACTGTCGTAAATGAAAATACAAATGTGGTGCATGTTAACCGTGAAAGCTACCCTTCGCCCCCCCCCCCCCACACCCCCTGCGCGATTTACAGTTGTGACACAGTTTTTGTTCTGAACTACCGGCATTATACATAAAATCGTCTCACTGCTTCCTCTCATTTCTGTGAGAGTTTTTAGGGCAAGGAAATGTCCGCCGTGATGCCCCAATGCGTGTTGACGTACTTCACATATATCCTTGAGATATTTTTTCCTTATTTCTCAGACGTGCCGGTTTCCGCACAATGTTTTCCTTCCCCGACGAGCACGTGGTAAATCAGCACTTAAAATTGCAGTCAACAATTTCATTGGATTGCTCGCGTACTGTGAAATTTACAGCGATCGCTCAGCCCCCAAACTATCACGGATATTAGTATAGAAGTGAAATGTTAGATAGAAGTGTTATGAAACTGACCGAGGAAGGCGGCGAGCGCGGCGGTGATGAGGTGGGCGTGCGAGGGCGCGAGCGGGCGGTGCGCGTGCGCGTTCCACAGCGCGCGCGCCAGCAGCGCCGCGGCCAGCACGTCGCGCGCCGCAGCTGCGCACCGCAGCGCCGCGCTCGCCGCTCCCGCCGCTCCCCCCGTGCCCCCCGCGCCCGCCCCGCATACGTTCACCAGCACGCCTGCCGCCGCGTACCGCACGCTCGCCTCCTCTGACCGAACCACCACAAACAGAAAACAAAATTATATATACGCGGTAAGGCCATGTTGCAGCTTTATTTAATCCGTTGCTGGTAGAGGCGGGTACGTACCCACAACCAGAAGACGTCCAAAGAACACTTTCTTCTTGTCCCCGATGATGAGATCATTACCCAAAATAAGTTGATCCCCCCCATATCCACTAACACAAACACACACACACATCCAAACATAAAGTAGGGCACACCAAGATTGTTGTTGACGGCGCAACGCGCGGTCACAGACACACGCCGCATACAAGGTATAGATATCCGTGACACGGGACTTTTTTAGTTACGAACCGTTTCCTTTATTCCAATAGCGGTTCAAGCCGACATTCGAACCTCCTTCTGAAGGGAACCTTTGAACCACATCGAGCCACCCTCCCCCTAGCTCGAGATGCCTCATAGCACCTCGAAAGGGGCCGAGATGCTTCGAAACTGCAGTCGGAATTTAATATAATAATTACAACTCAAGTGCAGCATAAAATATATGATATAAATTTAATTGTATCTTATTTATAAAAATCAATAGCTGTCTATTAGTATCTCTAAAACTCAAAAACGACTCAACAGATTTTGGAAGGTTTAGATTCACAAATAGACCCGGTAGGTAGCGCTGTTGTAGAGATACAAAAATCACCTGTGTAAAGCCTGGGGCGGATCACTAGTAGCAAATAAATGGTACAATCCTTATTTTAGACATAAAAGACCTAAATTATAATAAATTGAAAAAAAAATCTTTTCGAATAAAATTGCCTTGCAATAGCGCCATCTACTTCATTTTATAGGTAACATCATTTTATAAAACAAATATTGATCGACTCTATAGGTGATAGGTACGTAGAATAGACGCTATGACCTAAACACGAATAATTTAATATAATATTATATCTCGTTTTCTCACAAACTAAATCCTATAGATGTATACGTTTGTCTCTTTTTAGTGCAGGCAAGGAGGATGGCGTTGCCGAGAGGCTGCCCTGTGTTACACTGAGATAAGTAGTGTTGCTGTTTGTTTGCATACTTTGATGTTATCATGTAATCACGTAGTTACTTACTTAATTTATTATCAATTGCCTTTCGACATTATAAATTACTGTAATTGGAGTAAAAAGCGTTGTAATTAAATAAATAAATAAATGTTTGGTGTAGGTCCGTATTAGAAACGTATACGCATACGTACATCGTACACGCTCAGTTTGACTTTGATTAATCAATGACAATTATAAAAGAAAAATATTACATACTTACATAGAGTCATTCGTGTTAAGTGTGCGCACTTTGGTAAATATTAGTTCACTACACATAAAATAAAAGAGTTAGGAATATAAAAGGCAGCTCTGAGATAAACCATATATAGTAGCCTCTAAATTGTAATAAAAACAAGAATAAAAAACTTGGTATTTTTTTTCTGTAAGCATTTAATTACATAAAATCGAAATGCACTCACTTGACACACGATGCGGGTAAGGCCGGCCACATACATACGGAATTCCGTTTACCGGGATTCTGTTTCGATATTCCGATTCGGGATTCCGAACGCAGCAAGTCCATATAAAATCTATGACCCGCCACATACGTATGTTATTTTTCCGTACGGAATTTCTCCGATTTGAGATTCCGTATGACTGCCTGTGTGTTCGGGATCCCGAACGGAAAAAAGCCGCTCCGAACGCACGTCTTCCATAGATTTTGTACGAGTCGCAACACACATACGTAAATTCCGTACGGAACGCGCTCAGTGTTCGTCGCACGACCGAAGCGAGTAGGTGTGTTTATGTATGTTTTTACATTTAATCTTGTAGGTGTATAGCTTTTCGTAACCTTTCATCTTATTTTATTTAATAATTTGTTGAAAGAATTTACATACATAAATAATTAAAAAATATCTCTGGATAGATAGGTCTTTTTACATAATATTGACTATATTGCAAGCTTAGGGTGATAAGGGGATGCACCTAGTAAGAATGATACAGCAACAATGGAATTTGCAATTAGAAAATTGTCGTCATTATTCGCTGGCAGAATGTCTAGACTCAATGGCTAACGTCTCTCAACTGTTATTCCGAACGGAAAAAAAACGTGTGTGTGTGATATATTAACGGAATCCCGATTCGGGATTCCGAAACGGAATGACGAAACGGAATTCCGTATGTAGGTATGTGGCCGGCCTAACTGTGCGCACCCGCACGGGGTAAGTAAGCGCATTCCTTGGGTTAATCAAAATATACACAATATTAAAAAATAAAGGTTCTTTATTGTAATGCCACTTAGAAAATATTTTTATTAATTATTATTAGTCTTTGCATAAAAAATAAACTTAACATTTATTTAAATAAAATTATAGAAATTTTTAATTAACATTTAGAGATTAACATAATTTAGTTGGGATTGTCTAGTGTATTACAAACAATATTAATTCAGGGATCATCAATACAATTATCACAAACAAATACACCGTTCTCATACGCAGCGCACCCTCATCAGATGGCATCCACATGTCACCAGTCTTTGCAATACATGCACTGACTGCATTCTTCAGTATTTGGCTCTGTATATTTTTGCTTACATAGAAGACAGTATTCTACTATTGTAGAGGTCGAGGCCATAGAAAACTTTGTTCTTCCTCTTCAAGACGATGATGTTGATTTCGAATACAATACTCACTAATACCAATGGCACTTGCAGTAGCTGTTTTGCTCTTTCTTTTGCTCATGCTCATGATTTGTTCTTCAGTAATTCAAACGATTCAAGTTCAGGTCTTTTTCTTATATAATTTCACGGCATGGTGATAAGAAACTTAAAATAACACCGAAGGGGCAAGTGTACGCATGCGCACACTTACCCGCGCACACTTACCCCAGAACACCAAATTGCAAATTAAAGCTCATAAAATAAATTGTTAACAAATATAACATGATTTTTTTTTTATATAAATGTAGCGTAAACATATTATTATTCAAAGAAAATACAACTTACCTTTATGAAATCGATAACGTCGATGATACATTGTTTTCCATTAAACAAAAAATTTCGAATTTAAACACCACGTACTGTTTTTAATGAAAAAAAAAAGTTATTCATCAACTGCCGCCACAGAGACAAGTCGCGACTAGCAGGTCACTATGGCGTTACTTTTCGACCTAAACAAAAATCTCCCCCTCGTTCCCCATTCGGGAGATACACTCACTGCGCTCGGTGCAAATATCGGGGTAACTGAGCGCAGTGGGTAAGCGCTCAGTTACCCCGATATTTACGACATATTTTTCCTATTTTTTTTCTATAACATTACAAATACCGTTCATAACCTTGAACAGAATAAATATTGTATCCAAAAGACTTATCATAACACAACCAAACAATATTCTGATTACAAACCGTGCTCCTGAAAAGGCGAGAGTGCATCCAACGCGCCTTCAACCACTAGACACTGCGCGGCCCGCGTCGATCGCGATAGGTTGCCAAGCGTTCGTACAGCTTCGCACGCAGCCGCATTCATTCCTTCGCTATCCTTCCGTAGCCAGCGGCATGTTGCTGTTGATTTTTTAAGTTCGTTAAGGGACGTTCAGGGTAGGTGACTACTGATCATCCCTTTCGGATTCCAGCCTTTTCTTGGCAGGGGCCTTAGTAGCCATGGCTTGTCGCTCACTATGGTAATATTCGGCCGAAACTTGATTAGTGGCGGAGCCATAGACCAGATCTGCTGCTTGGGTCCGTTGCGCAGATGGAGTCTGAGGCCGCGGAGGATAGCGTGCCTCAGGTTCTGGTGCATCTAACCTGATGAGAATAAGGGGAGGAGTTGTCCTCCCCCGAGGAGGAGCAGATGTCTCACAGCCTTGCCAATATGGGGCGTAGATGGGATGTTTTACTCGGTACGAGTCCAATATAACCCGTCTTTAACCGCGCGCAGCGAATATGTTAGGCTTTTCTTTGTAACTCTAGTAACAGTGGCGTAGCATGGGTTGCTGCCGCCCGCAAGAATTTAAAAAAAACTTATTTGTATGGCCTACAAGTAATTTTCCGGTTTATGTAAACTGCCCCCACGATGGAACACTAGTAGAGTAACGTTTTGTTCCAATGAAAGGACCAAAGTAACTGTCTAGAAGAATGAAACTGCGTTAAGGTTCGGTGGTGCTTGCAAATCCCTGAATTAACATTTTACATTTTAAGTACCTTAAACGTGGTAGAGCCATGTTTATACGGGGTAGAGCCATATTGCAGCTATATTAATAGTATAGTTGTAGCACGAATGGGTCGGCTCGACCGGGGAAGGACCACGCTCTCACAGGATACCAGCGTAAAATAGCAGCTTAATGCTGCTGTGTTTCGTATGGTGAGTGTAGAGAACCGGAGACCCTTTTTACTGGAAACGAGGCATTCCATCTTAGTCCTCACGAGTGACAACACATCTGCATTTTGATTCGTAATCGAAGATAGATGTAGATGTCTATGGGCCGCAGCAACCACTTACTATCAGGTGGACTGTGTGCTCGTTTGTCATCCTTATTCTATAAAACAAAAAAAAACCTCCAAACCTCCGGGTTGTGGCACCGTAATATAATCTACTAACCCATATCATCCCATGGGTGTCGTATAAGGCGATAGAGAGAAACTGAAACAGGAGATGAACAACAGCAGTTTTCTGATTACAACTCAAAACATCGATATATATGTACTACGTACTAGATTGCGCATTCCGAACATACACTATGTTCAACTGAACTGTACTGCAATCCGTACAGTGTGTCATTTAGTGTGGTTACAATCTACTAGTTAGTCTGTGGTTTCAATATACATGTAGTGTGGAGCGGCGCTAATAACACAAGACTTCAAATTAAAGTTTAAATTAAAAACTGACCGCGCAGGCGCAACGCGCTTAAATCAACAGCGCATACGCGACCCCACTATCTCCCGCGCATGCGCGAAGACATACATAGAGTAGTGCACATTTTTTTTTAGAATGGCTTCTCTAGTACGTAGTACATATAACTCAATAACTCAAAATAATAAATAAATCTGCGGTCGCTAACCCGCCTGCCAAGCGTGGCGACTTTGGAAAGCATCAATGAGGCAATCTATGACGGACATTGAGTTATATGTACTACGTACTAGAGAAGCTATTCCAAACAAAAATTGTGCGCTACTCTATGTCGTCGCGCATGCGCGGGAGATAGTAGAGTCGCGTATACGTGAAGACTTTAAATTTAATATAAAACTAGCTGGCCAGGCAGACGTCGTACTGCCCTTTCCGACGACCATTTGTACTGACTTATCTTCACGCACAATCCCTGACGGGGTAGCCAGAGAGAACAGATCGCCAAGTGTCACGATCCTTACATACCTCTACGACCATTTGTCCTTCAAAAAATCCTTAAACTCGCAATAAAAAATATTAAGGATCACAGGATTTCATTGAAATCAGTTCAGTAGTTTAGGAGTTCATCGCGGACAATGTGACACGTAATTTTTATATATAAAGATAAGATATTAATATAAAATAAATATGAGAATTTAATATAAAATACTCTTATTTTAATCTAAACAAACATACTTCTAAATAAAATGTAATAATTATTATTATCTTATGGAATTCACAAATCTTCAATTTACGCAATATTTAGTTTAGTGTACGGATTGCAGTACAGTTCAGTTGAACATAGTCAATGTTCGGAATGCGAAATCTAGTGCGTAGTACATATATATCGATGATGACGGAGAGCTATATTCACCAGTGGACTTTGATAGGCTGTAATGATGAAGATGATGATTTCAAGTACCTTAAGAGTATGTCTAGCAGAAGACTGCAGAAGCCTGATGGGAATAAAGGACAAAATTCTTACCTTTACAAAGCAGCTCAATAGTATCATCCAGCGGGTCGAGGGGATCCGCTGGTTCGAGATAGAACGTGATGTTGTTGAGAGTAGCAAGGGCGGCCGTTGCTAATTCTTCACGACGTTCCCTGTATATGTCCCCCTCTGTTTCTTTTGAACTGCTCACCTTAAAGTGATACGTGGCTTGGTTTAATGAGGACATCCATGACTTTTTTGCCACCAAGGCGGCGCCACTTAAAAGTGATGTATAATATTTAACAGATTTCATAGCGGGGAAGTTAATCTGTTCGAATAATGTCAAAGTTAATGTTTCTTTCTGTACTATTAGTTATATTTTATATTAATTAGATTAAAAATAAATAGACCAATCCACAGATATTCAAAAAAGTAGATACCTTTAAAAAAAGTTAAAAATGTCCGAAATAATTTAAAATTAAAAATTTTGTACAGCCGACTTCAATATAAGTTATTTAAGAATAACTTAAAAACTATTGGTCTGACCTTGATCAAATTCATATGGGACCACACGAGAAGTACCAGCTTTCAAATAAAAAAAGAATCATCGAAATCGGTTCACCCAGAAAAAAGTTCTGAGGTAACACACATAAAAAAAAACGAAAAAAAAAAACATACAGTCGAATTGAGTACCGGCTCCTTTTTGGAAGTCGGCAGAAAATTAAAGAGCAAACCACTGAAGCATTGTTTGGTGTATTTATATATATATATTATACTATACTAAACTTTACCTCAGTGTCAACTAGCGATATCTTGGGCCCGAATTGGGAGCTAGATTTAGCGCAAAATCACAAATTCTTAAATTTCTTTTTGTGATTGGCTAAGAATATATAATGGTTAGGGCACGAATGGGTCTGCTCGACCGGGGATGAACAACGCTCTATGGAATATCAGCGTAAAATAACAACTCCATGCTGCTGTGTTTTTTTTATAGGATAAGGGTGACAAACGATCACACAGTCCACCTGATGGGTAAGTGGTTGCTGCGGCCCATAGACATGTACATCTATCCTCGATTACGAATCAAAATGCAGATGCGTTGTCACCCGTGAGGACTAGGATGGAATGCCTCATTTCCAGTAAAAAGGGTCTCCGGTTCTCTACACTCACCATACGAAACACAGCAGCATTAAGCTGCTATTTTACGCTGGTATTCTGTGAGAGCGTGGTCCTTCCCCGGTAAAGCCGACCCATTCATGCTACAGTTATACCAGAAATATAGCTGCAGCATTGCTCTACCACGTGTAAATTCGTATTGTGAGTAAAGAGAACGGGATAATCTTTTTACTGAAAACGAGGCATTTCATTTTAGTCATCGGGGGTGACTCGCGTGTGACAACGCATCTTCATTTTGATTTGTAATAGGGGATAGATGTAGATGTCTAATGGCCGCAGCAACCACTTACCATCAGGTGGACTGTGTGCTCGTTTGTCACTCTTATATTATGAAAAAATACAGATTAATCAAAATCTTTCAACAAACTTACCGGTTTGTCTGAAGGTCTCTCAGCTACCTCTAAACACGACAGCAGGGCTTTCACAGTGCGTTCAGCGTGATGAGCGGCTATTCCCCGCCCCGCCAGCTCTGCCAGGGATAAGTTTGCAACGACCCGAACCGTCTAAATCAAACATTAGTAAATAGATAATGTTCTTAGAGTTAAAAAAGACTGTGGAATAACTTACGTTTCAGTCATCATTCAGCCTTTAACAGAAATTGTTGTTAATGAAAGTATTAAGATGTATTGTTGTTACTAAAGAGCGTCCAGCGTCTCTGTCTTTTCTACAGACTTCAAAAAGGAGCCGGTACTCAATTCGACTGTATGTTCTTTATGTGTGTTACCTCATTACTTCTTACTGGGTGAACTGATTTCGATAATTCTTTTTTTAATTGAAAGCTGGTGCTTCCCATGTGGTCCCATATAAATTTGAATAAGTTCAGACCAATAGTTTTTGAGTTATTCTTAATAATTTATATTGAAGTCGGTTGTACAAAATTATGAATTTTAAATTATTAATCGTCAACATCCAGCCAAACCAGCACACCCAGGAAAAGGATTTTAATTTTGCAGTCGATTTGAAGCCGGTGCTAATATATTTAAATTGAACATTAAATTTATTAAATTAAAGTACTCGGTATTGGAACTGGACTAACATTAACAACCTTGAGACCGTATTATCTTGGGACTATTCCGCTCAAGGTCAGAGAGAGTCTTTCATATGTCGAATCAAAATGGCCGCTACGTGTCTTCTAAAGCAAGACAAAAGTGAATAGATTTTTATAAGGCTAAAACCGTGCGCCGTAACATCTTCGACAACATTTACATTTGTATACTAGTAAGAAATCAAATTATTTGTTGTAAAAAAAATATGAACTCATTCCGAGCTAAAAACAATATTATCATAACATTGATGTTTGTTGTAATAAAGTGACAAACTTGATCGCTGCTTGGCGGCAGAAGTAATAAGAGGGTGGTTCTAAGTTCTAACTTAACCAGATGGATTCAGTGAATGAACATTTCATTCATAAAAAACCAAGAGAGCGGGACTACCGTACTCAGATGGAGTCATTATGTAAATGAAAATATTAATTTGAAAATAATGACTATATGTAAGTTTTTTTTTTGTTTAAAAACGATAGAATCTATTTCTTTCAGTCAGTATTGAACCTTACAAACAATATAGGATCAAATGGAGGGCGTAATGCTAAAAACATTATCTGCCAGTCAAACCTAGGAATTGAAATAGAATAGAAACCTGTGAATTTTAAGTCGATGTCATTACGTATTAATTTTCGAGCACACACGTACCCACTAACACAAAGTGCGTTTTTTTAAAGAACTGATATAAGATTAGTCGACAAAACAGGCAAGGAGTTACTTAAAATAACGCAGTTCGCCATTGGTTATACGCACCTTTATTAAAACATCTTCATTCGAGCCATCTGAACCACCTAAATCTGAACCTAAAAAGAGATGAAAAAAAATCTCTTTTAAAACATGTACTCAATATGTTAATGATTTCTTATAATTACGCGAACACTACACATTGAATAAAACTACTTTTACAGATTTTACCGCGTTTATATACATGGTAGAGCCATGCTGCAGCTATATTAGTAGTATAGTTGTAGCACGAATGGGTCGACTCAACCGCGGAAGGGCCACGCTCTCACAGAATACCAGCGTAAAATTGCAGCTTAACACTGCTGTGTTTCGTATGGTGAGTGCAGAGAATCGGAGAACCTTTTTACTGGATAAGAGGCATTCCATCTTAGTCCTCACGAGTGACAACGCATCTGCATTTAGATTCGCAAACGAGGATAGATGTAGATGTCTATGGGCCACAGCAACTTCTTACCATCAGGTGGACTGTGTGCTCGTTTGTCACCCGATCCTATAAAAAAAAGTTTAATACTACTTATTTTCAATTCCTCGCAATTAATTCCCGATGGGGGTACTCTTCCCCCGTGACCATGGGTGCTGCAAAACACCCTAAACGTCGGGAATTAAAAATTAGTAGATAGTAATTAAACGCTATAAAATCCGTAAAAGTAGCTTCATTCAATGTTATATGGTCTTAATAAATAGAAAGTATTAAATTGCATCAACATTATTAAAAACTAAAATTATGTCCAATTATATTTCTTATTTAACTAAAGCCGCAAACACTTTTTACTGAACCATTGTATTTACTTTTTTAACAACAGCCGAATATATATTGCAGCTAGGCATTTTCAAGAACGTGTCAACTGCTATGAATTTAATTCTTATTAAAGGTAACACTTAACTAGAACCTCTTTCTGTATCGTGAAGGCATGTTGCATCTTCAAATCATGGCACCGCACTAGCTATTTCATTGAATTTGTTAGCAGCACCGGAGGCCGCTAATTCAATTTTCGCACGATAGAAGTATTTGTATGGCATACGAATAATTGTTTTTGAACTTAATGTTTATCCATGTGCAATTGGCACCATCATTATTTAATGATTACATGTACAATTTTAAGATGCTACTTATGTCTCATGTTTTTTAATAAGATAAACTAAATTTTCATTATTTAAAATTATAGAAATAAAGATATTTGTTTTACTGAAAGAAACTACGACTTATTCTATTGGTAATTTTTCCAGTACAATTTCTATGGAAGCTTCTTTGTGACAGATCATCAAAACTATTTCTATTGGCATGAGTGTCAACTATCCTATAAAAATTCTCCACGATACAGGCGAATTTCTTGGAGTGGAGCTAGGTTTATTTTAAACAAATTTAGTAAATATTCCTAAGTGAGAGTTTCTGTAAAGCTTGTATAAAAATTATGTCGTACCTACTAAATGGAGATCTGGGTCCAAATCGGGGTCCTTCGTGTCACGTTCGTTGCGGTTTGTGTAGGACTCCAGTATAGTCAATAACACGTCTACGCTACCATCTTCGTTGTAGATCTTTAAAAAAAAGGTTTAAAAATAAAAATAAATTGTTTTCTGTATATATAACACACTACATAAATATATCCTCCATATAATATATAGAATAAAGACATAAATATATATGCTATCTTTTAGACTAATTTCTTTCATCAGCCCGTAAAAATCCACTTCAAGACATGAGCCTCTTCTTGTTATGGAGGATGCATACGCTCAGCAGCAGACTTGTGAAGGACTGGGCACGACTACGGTTCCTACGGCGCCACGATTTGAAAGCGGATTCGCATAGAATTCGACAAGGTACGCCGAAAAGTTAGAATATAATTTTTATTTATTTATTTAATCTTTCATGCACAAAGTTGTACATATGGCGGAATTAATGCTTAGGGCATTCTCTCCCAGTCAACCATTAGGCTAAACAAGAGGCGGTGCAGCAGTAATCAAAATAGAAAGCGCTAAAAGAAAAAAAATTGTATATACATATACACACACATAAATAGACATACATACTTAAATACACACAATATATAAATACATACATACACATATACACGCATACACTACATATATACACAATACATATAAATATTATCTATGTCAGAACAAATATGAAATATACATATGTGTATGAAAATAAAAGCTATGTTATTTCAAACTTGCAACAATTTTTTCACATGCTTACGTACTTGATTTTTAAAAAGAAACTTGTTTAATTTTTCGATATCTCGCGTAGTTTCCGAGATATTCCGAGCTCTCTCTCCGCGCCTACTGCTTTACAAAAACACAGGGGTAGGGCAGAAAAGACTACGTGGAGTCGGGGCGTGCTGATTCGGTTTTAATATTCGATTTTTGAGTATTGATATCTCGGAAACTGAGCGAGATATCGAAAAAATTTATTCGTACTTTTCGGTGTATCTTGTCAAGGTCTATGCGAATCCGCCTTCAAATCGTGGCGTCGTAAGAACCGTAGAAGCCCCAAGAGGCTGTAATGGCAGATGGATGAGTTTTGCGATGTATGTTGTATTCATATTTATTTTTTTTTACATATGGGGAACTGAGAAATTTTTAAAATTTAAAATTTTAGATAGGTTTTAGGCATTTACGACAACTGGAAACAAGCCTTAACGTCTGGTGGCGGTGTAACGGAATCCATCTCCCCGTTTTGTTTCCTAGGTATCCTGAAATTCCGACAGATGGCTATATATAGTATGTTCACTAAGAAAGTGTCGGTACACCCGGCACTTATTATTTTGCTTTTATTTTATTATTTTTACTGTGTTTTTAAATAAATGTTTTTCTTTATCGAATAAAATGGAACTACCATTTTGTAATAAAATACGAATATAAATAATAAACACAAGGTAGGTAGCAAAGAACCCTTCATTACGGCGCTTCGTTTTAAAATGCCAAACTTTCCTGCGGATGTACGTGTATCTTTGACGTCGCGGCGGTGCCTTTGACAAGATGCAGCACGTGCCAAGGCGACGCGACTTAAAGACGACCGTATCAAAGCGAACACACAATAAGTCCCTCATTTACGCCGGACGTAAAATACCCAGACCGGCGACAAACAGCAGTGTAATGACAGATGAATCAGTTCTAAGGTACACATGCTGTATTCAATGAATATATTTATTATTGCACTTAAGGGGAAATTAGAAATTACATTCTTACTTAATTAATTAGTCTTATTTCTTACAATGCCACTACACGACAACTTTTGGGACAACTACAACAGTTATGGAAATTTGAAAGAATCAATCCCACTAACGTTTATCCTAGCCTGTTCATCCGCGGCGGCCATGTTGCCCAGCGTGTACGCCAGCCTGACGGCGAGCGCCGCGCGCGGGGCGCACGCCGCCAGCGCGTGCAGCAACGCACGCGCGCTCCACGACGACGCACAAAGCCACTCGCAGCACGAATCCTCGCCCGATAACACACTGAGCTCAATGTAAACATGACGTCACAATACACGAACTTCATTTGTTTTTTATACGTGGTAGAGCCATGCCGCAGGTACATTACAGTTGTAGGCAACAAACCATAGAGTGAATTATAGGTGTCGCACATATAGAAGCGTATGACCCCACGTTAGTCCTGGATTGGGGAGTGTGTAAAAGTTTTGTTATTGGACGACTAAGGATATTGTATGGTACATTTAGGGAGAAATATTGTAGCGCACGTCACAGCAGGCAGTACGTCCGTTTACTATTTAATTTTACACGACAGCGTGTACATTGAAAATAGTGTAATGGCGGTGTAATAATACCCACTACGGCATATTGCCACTATGGCCTCTTACGACACCCACAGAGGGAGAAACCAGGAGATGGTCCAGTAGCGCAAACATCAATTAGACAATCTATGCGGGATGCCTATGTTCAGCAGTGGATTTTGTTTATAAATGAATAAATGAATGAATAAATAAATATAACTTACTTTAAAAAAATGCTTATGCTTTATGAACGTGCATCACATTTTTATAAACTATAAGAAATATACTAGCGAGCCGCCCCGGCTTCACACGGGTAATTTCTGGATCTCGACAACAGCGCCACCTGCAGGGTCCAATTGTAAATCTAACCATCCAGGGGCTAAAAAAATCATCAAAATCGTTCGAGCCGTTTTCGAGTTTTAACGAGACTAACGGACATCGATTGGTTTATATATATAGAAAGATTAGAATCTATAATTTTCATAGCATAATATCGTATGGGGGATCGGATTATGGGAAATTAGCTCTGAAATTATTTTCTTTTTGCAAAAGAGCACCATTGGGGCAAACTTATATTTAAAACATAAAGAGCTGCGAACGGATAAAGTTGGTTGCTCTTCACGCCGAAAAGCAAACATCGTAAGGAATGCTGCATGTCTAAGGAATAAATATTTTAAAGACATGTGAAGTCCAACAAGTACAGCACAGCAGCAGCACGGTGGGCTAGTTGCTCCATAAATCTCTCACTAATAAGGGTCCTCCTCCATGCCCGAATGCAGCAGTGAGATGTATATATTTTTTTTAATTTTTAATTTGTTTAATAAACATTACCCCCACACTAGGATTTTCTCCTGTATCGTGGAGGCAGTTTACAAACACAAATCACACAAGTACAAACATCCAGACCCGGAACAATTATTTGTAGGCCATACAAATACTTGTTCCCTGCGAGGTTCGAACCCGCGGCCCCCAGCGCAGCAACTCATTGCTAAGCCACTGCGCCACGGAGCTGTATATATAGCCTATAACTTTACTATTTGTTCGTGCGCCCCCCTTCCCTAAGGGGGGTAACTTCCGATACGGCGAAGAGGCCATACAGGCCGGAGGCAGTCCCACAGGTGGTGTTCAGTAGGTAGGCATTTCTTAGTATTGAGTCCCACACAACCACGCAGCTGGCTGTATGCTACATTAGGCGCAAAAAAAATTATTTGTCCGTCGTATTACCTGAGACACCGCGCCACATTGGTCAGAACATCACGGTCTGTATGCAATGGCAGGGCCGCTAACAATTCTGCGAGAGCACCGCTGGATACGAAAGCGTCCGCTGTTTTTGGCCCCCCACTCGCCAAGTTGCGAAGCGCGCCCGTCAACTGATAGAGCGCGTGCGTAGCTTCTTCCTGCACTTGTCTGGGTCTTTCCGCTTTCTATAAAACACGGGCGTTGTTAAGACTACTTATTATACTCACATATTATACTCACTTCGTCTTATTGCAAAACATGGTTTATTGTTTCATAAACATTTTATACTTAAAATTTTAATTAGCGGTTTTCCACGGGACTTTTTTTATTTTTTATATGATAGGGTGACAAACGAGCACACAGTCCACATGATGGTAAGTGGTTGCTGTGACCCATAGACATCTACATTTATCCTCAATAAAGAATCAAAATGCAGATGCGTCGTCATCCGTCAGGACTAAGATGGAATGCCTCTTTTCCAGTAAACTAGGTCTCCGGTTAGAGAACCGGAGAACCGGAATGGTGAGTGTAAAGACACTCACCATACGAAACACAGCAGTGTCAAGCTGCCATTTTACGCTGGTATTCTGTGAGAGCGTGGTCCTTCCCCAGTCGGGCCGACCCATTCGTGCTACAATTATACTACTAATATAGCTACTGTTTGTCTGATGTCTCTAGTTTACTAATTAATAAACTACATTTTGTGATAAGGCAGACTACGGACACGTAATATTAACTACATGTAATTTGGTTGGAAGTTTGATGGATTCTCGTTTGGAAGAAATGATCTGCCGACGTAACGTTAACAGGCTTTCCTATCCGGCTAACATGGTTACGGCGCATAATGCTATCTAACGAGTTTATGGTAAAATACAACACTCACTAATTTAGTCGGTCATTTTGATTGTATTTTAAAGGAGTCTATTGTTTTAGCATATTTTCTTGTTAGTAGTAAGGAGTTCCAAAGCTCGAAGAACTCAAAAGGATTTACTGTAAAAGGTAGAGGAATGCAAGGAACATAGAAGGGAAAGGTTTTCTATGGACCGAAGGGAAAGGTTGTGAGAGGAGCTGAGAAATTGGAAACGTTCTTTCAGGTCATTTCCTACTAAGTATCTTAAGAAGTGACTTCGGAATAAGCCAATATAATAAACAATAATTTAGTCATCTTTAATAGATGGCAAAATACTAATCAATAACACTTTTTACTGATAACAAGGTAATTTTAGTCCAAAAATTTGACAACGCATCTACATTTTCATTCTTAATCGAGGATTATATGTAGACACCTACATATAATCCTCGATATAAGGCACAGCATCCACTTTTCATTAGGTAAATTGTGTGCTCGGTTGTTAACCTTCCTTGTATAAAAAAAAACAATTTACTAGGTAGAATTGTCTTCTACGTATGAATCCGTCTCTTTAGGTACCACCCACTCAAATATTTCTGCCGCCAAACAGCAGTGCTTGTACTGCTGTGTCCCGGTTTGAAGGGTATAGAGACTAATATAACTATTATTATATTACAGGCTGTGATGCCTCACCGTCCAATCCTCAAACGTGAGAACCCATATGTAGCCTTCTTTGTTTGTAACTACGGCTGTTCATTGGCTGCAGTTCGAAATTCGTTTGTCAGTTGTTTTATTAAAAACAAATGGTAAAATTAAAAATATTGTACAAGCGACTTCAATATAAATTGTTAAGGATAACGCAGAAACTACTGATCAGACCTTGATTGAAATTTTATACGGGACTACGTGAGAAGCACCAGTACTTCCTCCATTTGAAGTCGGTTGAAGATACCGATTGAATGAATAATAACACTGACCGCAGTATTAAGTATCTTCAGATGTAGTGCGGCTAAATGCAAGGCGCCGGCGCGATGTGCGAGCGCGCAGAGACGCGGTTCCAGCGCCAAGAAACGAAGCGCGCCAGCTCCGTACACACAGCATTCGCTTTCTGCCAGGGGATCGGCTCGACCGCAGCCCTCAACCAATAGTTCTGTAGGAGAAAATACCTATTACTTTTAACGTTTCACGTACACGAGTGATCCTACTATCCTACTAATATTATAAATGTGAAAGTTTGTGAGGATGTATGGATGTTTGTTACTCTTTCACGCAAAAACGACTAAATGGATTTTAATTAAATTTTGCAGTAATATAGCTTATACATCAGAATAACACATAAGCTATAATTCTTAGATTAATGATAGGTCTTCGCGCGCTCAGGCTAGATGCCGCCGGCGCTCTTGTAAAATGCGGCAACAAATACTACGCCGAAATCGGCGTACCCGAGCCAGTCGCGTTGCAGGTGATATGTGATGTGGACGTACCGAATATTTTATAAAATTTTGATCATAATCCGAAGTAAAATACCAGTTTGCGTAGTGAAACTGTGTAAAAATAATATTACAAGAAATAAGAAAGACACTGGGATCACATACTATCAGTAAATATCATACAATTTCGAAATTTCAACATAAAATAACACGAGCCAGAAATAAATTACAAAATATGAAAGACTCCATTCAGTGTTGCCGCGTATACAAAAATAAAGTTCCCCGTGGCTGAGATTTTTATATGTGAATTTATTATATTTTATAATATAATATATTTAACTTATTATAATATAACCTGATTCTATATTATTTAATGTATATTTTTGTAGTATTGCTCAAATGACCTAATATTTATATGTTGTTTTATTAATTGTTATTTTTATTATTAAAACATTATTTCCGTTTATTAGGGTTCCGTACCCAAAAAGTGTCAACGGGACTTAAGTTTCCACTACCGTTCAGTCTGTTTGTCAGCAGGCTGTATTTTATGAACCGTAAAATGTAGATACCTGAAATTTTCACAGAACGTGTATTGGCTATTATTGCTATAACCACATATAATAAAAATAAAATTTTGGTTACACAATACAATATATAACTATTTTTTTAAATAATTTGTGAATATTAGTCAGACATTTAAATATAAAAATTAAACTGATAAAAATGAGGCCTTACCATTTATATGCCATTTATTCAGAAGAAAAACCTATACATAATAAACACAAATATATTGATACATTCGCTATTAATAAATTATTCATTTTTAAGTATTGCTGGTCTACATTCATAACTATGAACTTAACTACTAAGCCATAGCATAAAATAATTTTTCCCGTTAATGGGGTAATAGTTAAGCTGCTGGCATATACAATTTTTCACGCACACTAGCATCCTGGTAATTGTCTTATGCACACTAGAATATTGAGTTGCCGCAGTCACGGAGCTGTTTCTTTCAAGTAGCGCGGTATCTAGTCAGAGCGCGCGATGACCTATCATTAATCTATGCTATAATTCATAAAAATATTGTGTGAATGAGGGCTAATAATCTTCCACTCACCAGATGTCGCTAGTTGTGACTGAGGTAAAGTTTTTTTTGTTACACAATGTCAGTTAATTGAGAAATTAGTTTTAAATAATAGTTTATCATTATCTAGAGTATTATATTAATATACAACACAAATCTTCAGTGGTTTGATTTTTAATGTTTTGCAATTTATAACTCTTTTTTTAATTTTTAATATTATAATAACCCTTTTTGTACAGTTTTTGTTTAATAAAATATTTAAACTTGCTAATAGAGAGACCTTGTATATTTTCTGGAGCTTAGTTATAATAGCGTATACATTGCCCCAAGAATGAATTACCGACTGTGGAGTCGAGAAACTGTCAACACTAGCTTGTTTGTTCGTAGTGTTTACAGTGTATATCACTTTTTTACTAAAACTACCTTTGTTTTTGTCGAATTATCGTTGCATCGGTCTATGAGAGGAAGGAAATATAAAGTTCACCTGTGACTGATTGTGCATACAATCGTGCACTATAACCCTACCCTGCGCAGTAGGAACTGGTCGCCGTAACGAGAGATTTGATTTGGAGGACGTTATTTAGTATGCGAACAACCCGAGTTAGATACTTGCCGTCAACATAAATATTCTTAGCGACCAATTTATCACGAATATTCTCTGCCCTATATCGTAACGTGGGTGTCATAACAGGCTACAGACATACATCTTTCATTTAATATTTTCATTCAACCTAAAATAATAAAAACCTGCAGTTGCCAACCCTCTTAATGAAAATCCTATGTATCAATCTATGAGACGGTCGATGTTCAGCAATGGATTTTTAATAGGCTGCAGCGGTATCACTTATACTACAGGCCAAGACACTAGGCAATGTTGCAACCCGTAATATTAGTGATATTTATTTATTTATTTAAATAATAATGCCTTAAGGCAGGCGTCGGCAACCTTTTGAGTCGGAAGAGTCAAAAATTACAATTTACAAAATTTCAAAGTTTTTAAAGAGTCACAAATGTTTATCTTGCCAACCATAAATAGTACTTGCATAAATAAAGTTTGATAAAAAAAACTAATCTATTTATTCATAAGAAAAATATATATTTATTCATATATAAATAGGGTTTTTCACAATAAATTAGAATCAAATTTCTATTATTAGAAAATATATATATCATCATTACAGCCCTTCATAAGTCCACTGCTGAACATAGGCCTCCCCCAAGGAATGCCACAAAGCACGGTCCTGAGCCACCTGTATCCATCGACTTCCTGCATGTCTTAGCAGGTCGTCACTCCATCTAGTGGGGGGTCGCCCTAAACTTCGCTTACCGATACGAGGCTGCCACTCGAGAACCTCTCTTCCCCATCGGTTGTCGGTTCTTCGAGCCTATATGGCCGGCCCACTGCCACTTCAGCTTACTAATCCGTTGGGCTGTGTCGGTTACTCTGGTTCTACTGCGGATATCCTTATTCCTAAATTTATCACGCAGAAAAGCCCCGAGCATAGCCCTCTCCATAGCTCGCTGAGCGACCTTGAGCTTCCTCATACGTCTAGCAGTGAAGGACCACGTCTTAGATCCGTAAGTCATCACTGGCAATACGCACTGGTTGTACAATTTCGTTTTCCGGTTTTGAGGTATGTCTAACGAGAAGATGTGTCGTAGTTTCCCGAACGCTGCACAGCTGAGTTGATTCCGTCGATTGACCTCTCGGTCGAAGTTGGACTTACCCAGTCGGACTATTTGTCCCAGGTAAACAATTTCGAGCTTAGTGCTCGTATAGGTGTGACATGGACATTAAACATGATCTTTATTTTGTCCATGTTCATCTTAAGACCTATCCGTTGGGAGACACTAATGGGGTCATTGAGCATAGTGCTTAGGCCTTCAGCGATTCTGCCATAAGGACTATATCGTCGGCAAATAGAAGGTGAGTAATGTACTCGCCATTGATGTTGATACCGCATCCTTTCCAGTCCAGTAGCTTGAAAACGTCTTCCAATGCAGCGCTGAAGAGTTTCAGGGATATAACGTCACCCTGTCTTACACCTCTTTGCAGTTGGATAGGTTTCGTACTCTGATTCTGTACTTGGATAGCCATCGTAGCTCTACTGTACAAACACTTCAGCACTTCGATATACCGACAGTCAACTTGGCACCGCTGAAGGGACTGCAGCACTGTCCAAATTTCGAGGGAATCAAAGGTTTTCTAATAGTCCACATACGCAAGGCAAAGTGGCAGATTGTACTCCTCTGTCTTCTGTGTAATTTGCCGAAGTGTGTGTATGTGGTCTGTGGTACTGAAACCTTTTCGGAAACCGGCTTGTTCGGGAGGCTGGAAGTCGTCAAGTCTGCGTGTGAGATGATTTGTAGCGACTCTCGAAAACAGCACGTAGACGCGTCTCAGAAGGGAAATCGGTCTGTAGTTCTTCAAGAGAGCGTTGTCGCCTTTCTTAAAGAACAAGACCACCGCACTTATGGTCTACACCTCCGGAGTAGTGCCACCATGGAGGACGGAATTAAAGAGCTTCTGAAGGACTTCAAGTACCGGTTTTCCACCTGCTTTCAGAAGCTTCGCTGTAATTCCATCCTCACCTGGGGCCCTGCCGTTTTTAAGGTGCTGGAGAGCCATTCTAATCTCGCTTAGACTCGCTCATCTTTGAAATAGTGTCGGATCAGATTCGCTCTTGGATCGTTACTCACACTTGCATGTGGCTCCAACGATGACGTGTACAGCTGTCCATAGAACCTCTCAATCTCACTCAAAATCTCAGGTGTCCCGGAAACGATGCTACCACACTCGGTCTTCAGCTTTGACAGTTGGCTCTTTCTGGCAGACAGATCTCTGGCAAAGACTTTGGAGCCTTGGTCCTGCTCGATCGCTTCTTCAATACACGCTGTATTGAAGCTGCTTAAGTCCCGCCGCATGCATTTGGAGATCTGTCTGTTCAGTTCCCTGTATGCTGTCAAATCAGTTGAAGGCTGCAGCATCATATATATGGTATTATTAGATAATCACTTATTATTTAAGTAAAAAATTAAAACAAACATTTATTTACATTCTAAGTCATACAACACTAACTTGTACTTCAATAATAAACAATTGAGCAAACAAATTCAATGGGAGCTTTGGCTTTGATGGTTATTCAAGTAGAAAATTTAAACTTTACTAAACAATGTAACTTTTACTTAAAAATAAAAAAATAACATACATTTAAGCAAACAAATTCAATGGGAGCGTTGGCTTTGCATGGTTTTAGAAAATTTGGACAAATTTGGCTCATAACTTGTTGTTTCAAGTTTCAAACACGACTCTTAATTGTTAGTTGGCTCTTTACTTTACTTTTAATTATGTTCATGCAATAGAACGCTTGCTCGCACGAATATGTCGATCCGAAGATAGTCAGCACTCCAAATGCCAACTTCTTCACCTCACTGTAGCAATCTGGAAGACTATTCCAACTCGCGGCATTTCTTTTAAAGCTGTTCATTTTTGTTGCGTTAGGTACATACATTTCTGGACCTCCAACTCTTTCAACTTGCTTTTCAACTCAGTAAATTTTCAACTCCACAAAGCTTTACTTTTTAAATCGATCAATTGCATTTCTAGAGATCCAGTATTAACTCCCAAATGGCTCAGTGTGGATCGATTTTTAAATGTTTTTTTTTTTTTATAAAATAAATAATATTTTCGTATGAACTATGAAACTAAAGAGCCGCAGCTTCACATCCAAAGAGCCGCATCTGACTCGCGAGCCGCAGGTTGCCGACCCCTGCCTTAAGGCATTCTCTCCCACTCATCATTAGTCTATATATATATAGAAACGGTATTCTTTACATATTATATAATATAAATTTACTTACATATAATAAATATATTAATACAGAAGTAACAAATACATAATTATACTTAAATACATATATAATAAATAAATATATTATAAATATTTATTTATTTAACAACATATTCGTATTCATAGTCGATTAGACTCCAATATAAATATCTATACTATTATAAATAAGGAAAATATGGTACGATAGAATCATTATTAAGGAAAAAGCGTTAATTCATACTTGCAATGCTTTTCTAAAGTGTTAACGAGCTTTGTTTTTAAAAATAAACTGGTTGGAAGCTTGTCAATAGGTATTTTGTTTATTTAGCGGAATAAAAAATAAATATTATATACATAATATTCGTATCTTATCGCATATATCGTCATAATATATTATCTGTATATTAACCAGCAATATTTTACCTAATAAATTGCTATTTCTGAAGAAATGGTCATTCTTGTCATTTCTGGCAATTTTGAAGACCAGTTTACACGCCGCTGCTAAATGTTTTCCAGTCACTCGCATCTGAAATTATTCTATGTTGTAATTATGTTTCATTAGATTTATTATAAAGGCAACTTTTTGTTGGATTTCATATAGTTAATCCTGAACCAACTTGTAACAGTGCATGTAATGTAGTAATGATTTGCTTAAATCGCCTCGTTTGTCAAGAGGATTGTATTGCAGAATCAGACGTCTTGCGACTTCAACTCTACCCTCTTTTGTGAGATTTTTTAAAGTAGGAAAGAATTTGTCGCACTGCCAACATGTCCTCGAAATATTATTTTTCTATTTTTCCGATATGTACGTAAATTCTTCACATTATTTTCCTACATCGCCGACCACATGGTTAATTAGCACTTAAAATATTAATTAACAATATGTTCTATCCTTGTAATAATAGGAATTAAATGAAACTAGTTTTTTTTTACAGATTTTATTGAGCTTAATAAACTTACTTTTATATTCCCGACTTTATTTAGAACAAACGTGACAAACGAACAAACAGTCCACCCACACGGGGCATTCCATCACAGTCCCCTGAGGACTATGATGGAATGCCCCGTTTCTAGTAAAAAGAGCCTCCAATTCTTTACATTCATCTTACGAAACACAGCAGCATTAAGCTGTTATTTGGTATTCTGTGAGTACGTGGTCCTTCCCCTGGCAAGCCACCCATAAGTGCTGTATCCATAATATAACTGCAACATGGCTCTATCACGTAAAATAACGGCGTCTCGACTACTTTGGAACACAACGTTTCAATATCATTGTTAGTCACGGTAACCTTCAGCTTAAAATTATTAATAAATGGTCCGATTTACGCTGAAAGAACTTTTAACTTATTACATAAGGTGGTATTTTTTATATCGGCGGCGCCACAGTGTTAACGAAATTTGACATTTGATGTCCACTGGATTTTTTTATTGAAACAGACTAGTTTAAACCTGAGACTAATGATAAACTAGTTTTTGTAATACGAAGGATAGCATTCTTTAAGTTTTACAGTGGCGTGCTTGGGTTGGTGTTTAATTTTATTAATTATAGGATCCCAAGTAAATGACCCCAGCCATACCATCTATTAAAACTGGAATGATTTTGATTCACCATAATTTAAATAAAACTAATTTTACGGATTTTATCGCGTATATTAACTTATTTTAAATTCCCGACGTTTCGAGCACTTTACAGCACCCGCACATGGTCACGGGGGGGACTGACGTGTATGACATCCCAATGTCATAGTTAACCACGGTTACCTCCAGATTAAAAATAAAATAAGTTAATAATAATACGCGATAAAATCCGTAAATTTAGTTTTATTTAAATGTGTAGAGTTCGCGTATTTATAAGAAATCATCATCATCATCATTGATAGGAATCGGTGTTATTTTGCGAGGATTTGTAGTTTATTAAATTATTAACTAACTGATGTAATGGGGGGAGGTGATCCTGAACATGTTCACAGATTGTAGATCTTCTGTAGCGTCGATTGTTCACTTCAGTTTCGTATTATTTTACGCGGACAATATGTAAGAGTGACCACATTCACAATTAAGTTTGTAAACTCCTGCATTGGTTATCATCACCATTGTTAATATCGGCTAAAAGAACATCAGTTACCGTTAACAAAGCTCTTGCGATGGCCACCAACACCCGCTCTTCTTCGCTGTCTAAGTGGACGTAGAGGGAACGCAGAACGAGTTCACGTAGATTACCAGACGGCGTTGTCTTTTCCAACATATTCTGCAGCTGTTCCATAAGGAGCAGAACTCTCTCGGTGTCGGAGGCGCGTTGCGATGTCAATGCTTCGGCCAATTCTAGTATGGTCATGCTACAGAAATAGAAATATGTTTATTAATGTATGCTTAACTTTGATGGCTCGGTATCACGGTTGCTTAAGATCGCGCGTTCCGCACAGAGACCGCGAAGCGATAGCACGGCGGATGACGGTACCTACTACCACCGTAGCTCGCTCCATGTCATGTAAGATCACGCATAATAACTGTAAACTGACAGTTTAAATATTGTTTGCTAGCTGGCTTTCTCTGTCTATGACCAAAAAACCTTTCCAAATTTTTTTTTCTTCTTATTTTCGTTACCTCCACACTTGGATTTTCTCCTGTATCTTGGGGACAGTTTAAATATATAAATTTTACAAGGACAAACATTCAAACCCGGAACAATTATTTGTGGGCCCTACAGATGCTTGTTTCGTGCGGGATTCGAATCCGCGACCCTCAGCGCTGCAACTCGTTGCTAAGCCACTGCGCCACGGTGCCGTTAAATTATTCAAATAAATCGAACACTGTCGCGAGGCCCGGAGCGAGCCCCTCGACAGTGTAAGGGAGCGCAAACACAAATCGTTGTATTTTTTTATTGTAACATTATGTCTTTTTCTACCGACTTCAAAAAGGAGACTGTACTCAATTAGACTGTATGTTTTTTTAGTGTGTTACCTCATAACTTTTTACTGGGTGAACCGATTTCGATGACTCTTATTTTATTTGAAAGCTGGTCTTACACATGTGATCTCATATAAAGTTGGTCAAGGTCTGACCAATAACTTTTTGAGTTATTCTGAATAATTTATATTGAAGTCGGTTGTACCAAAATTTTTAATTTTAAATTATTCTTTTAATCATCTTTGTAAGTTGTATGATGTATGTTTAACATTATAGTAAGACTTCATACGCCCGCTAAACGTTTGATTGTAGCAGGTGACTTTTATATTTCCGAAGGTTCTATCATCCGGTTTCGTCTCGTGGGTGTCGTAAGAGACAACTATGCCAGAAATATCTTATGGCTTCCCATAGACAGCGGTAACCATCTCGTTCACGTTACATTTATAATTAAAAATTAAAAATTTTGTACAACCGACTTCAATATAAATTATTAAGAATAACTCAAAAACTGTTGGTCATACCTTGATCAAATTTACATGGTACCACATAAGAAGCACCAGCTTTCAAATTAAAAAATGAATCATCGAAATCGGTTCACCCAGAAAAAAGTTATGAGGTAACACACATAAAAAAAAGAAAATAACATACAGTCGTATTGAGTACCGTCTACTTTTTGAAGTCGGTAGAAAATACACAGTCCCGTGACGGCAGCCAGCGTCATAGATACGAGAGGTGTAGTGCTGTGATTGTTAACCCGCCTGTCAAACATGACGTTTTACATAAATCCTCCCTAAAACAGCAGAGATTCATATCCAGCAGTGAACTTTTACGGTCTTATAAAGTAGAAGAAGAAAGTCCCAAGCGTGCTTTATAATTGATAAAAAACTACGGTAGCACATAATCTCTGCCTTGTCATGTCTCTTTTTCTTTATAAAACTGAAGTGACAAACGAACGAGCATCTGATGGTTTTTTTTTTATAGGAGAGGGGCAAACGAGCATTCGGCTCACCTGATGTTAAGTGACTACCGCCGCCCATGAACAACTGCAACACCAGGGGAATTGCAGATGCGTTGCCGGCCTTTTAAAAAGGAGTAAGCTCTTTTTTTGAAGGTCCCTTAGTTGTATCGGTTCGGAAAAATCGCTGGTGGTAATCGATTCCACAAGGAAGTTGTGCGAGGAAGAAACCATCTTCTAAATCGCACAGTGGTAGACCGCCAATCATCCAGATGGTATGGATGGTATCGCGAGTTTAAATAAAAAATAAAAAAATAAATATAGATGTCTATGGGCCACAGCAACCACTTACCAACAGGTGGCCTGTGTGCTCGTTTGTCACCCTTATCCTATAAAAAAAAAAGCACACAGTAGACAAGTGCAGTCAGATTGAATAAACGAAATGTCTCTGCCTTTGGTTGAAAGGCTTTAGTTTAAAGTTTATTTTATGTTATGCTTAAGTTATACATCACACGTAACTTCAATGTAATATATGTAGTCTGTTTGTACCTTTCGTAGTTATCGAGGGACGTATTTGGCAATTGCAAGGCCAAGTGCTTGACTGGAATATCACCGAGTACGGAACTTGGTCCAGTATCGCACGGTATTGACTTCGAACTGGTATATATTCGCCGCTTGTTACCACCGCCGTCTGTGCCGTATGCTGGAAAATTACGTTTTATATCCCTAGATACTGAGTTTGATTTAATTAGGTTATTTTACTAGTAAAATTATTCTCATTAAAGATAAGATAAAATTATTTCTTTACATTTATTTTCATGATGATCATTAGAGAAGCCACTGGTGGTGTTGAGATCACTATTCATATCTAACGGTCTAGTCACTGATATAGTTTTTGACAAATTCGACGTTGTAGGACACCCTGAAATAAAATATTAACTTTAATATATTATACGTCTTTCTAGGAAAAGTATTTTAAAGTATTGGTTGTGAGTATAGACATATACGTTTGCCGCCGTTTTAACATATTATAAGACAGAGTTTGACCACTATATCACCTGATGGTAAGTGGTGTTGTAAGTGAAGGCAGTAAAGCACACTGACTTAACGATACAGTACCCTAATCTGTATGTATTCAAAAATATTTTTGAATACATACACCCAGTCCCTTAACACTTATAATAAAAAATACGGGGGGTGATGTGGCGGCGCTGTCGTCGCGCCACAAGCGAAACACATCGAAGCCTAAATCGCGCTATCAAAGTTCCGAAATTAAAGGAGCATATATAGAATAGCTCCGAACTACCAATCGGAGCGCTGGCCGCTCCCCGGGCAGAACACCTTGCCCGGCGGGAGATCTCCCCTTTTCCTTCCACCCGCTACGACGTTATTAACATATTTTGACGTAACTATAATATTTATCGTGTATTAGCGATGTAAAACTGTCCACAACTCCCTTTCGGCCTTCACGTGAAGGCGACAAAGGGAAATAAAAAAGAAGATGGGCAGCAGCGTCTTTTTAATAATAACTAGAAAAAACCATGGCTAATTAATAGAATCAGGCGTTACTTTGCGCAAGTCCATTATATTAAAGTTGGCAAAAAAATTACTTTGCTGAGTGCACCGTATAGTCTATTTGAAAGGGACGAAGAGAGAACGAAGTGTGAAATATGGGTAAATCAGGAATGTCTAGAACAGGTAAATGAAATTGTATACTTGGGGAGTGCTTTTAGCCGGGATGGAAGTGGTGCCCTGACTGCGTTAGTCAAAATGCAAGGCGTAGTGAAGAGTGCACGCCTTGCAATACATAACGCAGTGTTGGTACCGACTTTGTTATATGGGTATGCCAGAAGAAGCATAAAAGCAAGTTGAATGCAGTGGAGATGCGATCTCTTCGTAAAATGTGCGGCGTTACCATGGCCGACCGAAAGCGAAACGAGATTCGCAATATGGCAGGTTTGAAAGATGACCTTATCACAAAAATTGATAAGAGCGTGCTTCGGTGGTTTGGGCACGTTGAGCGAATGAGTGAAGACCGAATGGTGAACCAAATATATAGCGCGAAAGTTAATATTAAAAGGTGTCGAGGTAGACCGAGACTAACTTTCGAAGGCCATGTGAGCAAATTGCTCGAAGAGGGTAGGGTCAAGAGTACTCGGATACCTAGACGTGCATGTATGAAGAAGATAATGAATCTGAAAGAAGCGAAAGAGGTATGTAAGGATCGTGACACTTGGCGATCTGTTCTCTCTGGCTACCCCATCAGGGATTGTGCGTGAAGATAAGTAAGTAAGTAAGTAACCGTAGAGTCTAGATCACCTGAAGATGCCTCGTGTAGAGGCGAAACACGTGTCGTATTGTCGTCAGTGGTGTCTTTCCTAGTATAGTGGTGGTAGGAGTAGTCGTGCTGGGATTAGTGGTGACGGTGATAGTGCACGCAATTGAGGGAGGGCGGGAGGTGCTAGTCAAACTAGGTAAGGCACATCATTTTATTTTATAACGCGGATATACGCGAGGTAATTTTTTGCCAACTTTAAAACTATGGCTGCCAACCCGCTTGTCAAGCATGGCAACTTTAACAAATGTCCCCCTTATGGAGTAATCTATGGGAAGACTTATGTTCAGTAGTGGGCTTGATGGTTGATGATGATTATTTAATTAATTACAAACTCAGGCTCAGATTTCAGTTTCGGCATATACAAAGTTAATTCCACTTTCTTTAACTTTATTTCTGCCGAAACTTTGAATCACACCTTGTAAAAAAAATTGTTTTTAAATTGTGTGAGAAACCAGTTACTAAATGATGTGACTATTCATGATCACCTAAATCGCCAACCATTTTTCTGAGTTCATCTAAGCGTAGATTGACACGCTACCCTTTTATTATCTATACGGACCAATTATTGAACTGCCTAATAATACGATTGGCCATATTTAAAACACAATAATATTTAAGAAGTATGGATATTATATATGTTATGTACAAAAACATGTCGTCAGTAAAAAATTATTTGGTGGTGGGGTTGCGCCTCCATCTAGCTATCAAACGGACGTAGTTATACAATAACGTTCCAACCCACAAGTCATTCAAAAATGAATTATTTTTCTTCTTCTTTACTTTTTAGCTTCATTTCATTCACTCACACATCAGTAACAACTAACAACACACAGTCATTTTTAAATGACTTGTGGGTTGGAACGTTTTTATGTAACTACGTCCAAACAAGAGTTAATTTATTGTTGTATTTCAGTTTAAAGGATAAGACAGCAAGTATATAGGGGAATATCAAAGTATACTCTCTGAACCACTGTCAGATGCTGCTCAAATGGTTTATCATTTATTAAGTATTGTGTTAGTAATTAAGTATTTTTGTGCTATTTAGTTATAAGGTACAATGGGACTGACATGTTAATAATAACGAAAGTCCCTTAAATAAAAAAGAATAAAAAAAATAAAATAAAAAAAAAGTATAATTACACGTTGAGCGGCATTTCATTTTAATCCTCAGGTCAACCTATCTTTAGGCGCATTTGCTTGAAGTTATTTGTTAGTGTTCATGGACTATAGTAGCCACTTAGCAAGTGGACTGTGGTTATTTTATAAAATAAGGGTAACTAGCGAGCACACAGCCCGCCTGATGGTAAGTGGATGCTTTGGTCCATAGACATCTATCCTCGATTAAGAATCAAAATGCAGAATCAATATGCGTTGTCACCCCTGAGAACTAAGATGGTATGACTCGTGTTCAGTAAAAAGGGTCACCGGTTGTCTTCACTCACCATACGAAACAACACCATTGAGCTGCTATTTTACGCTGATATTCTGTGAGAGCGCGGTTGTTTCCCGGTCGGGCCGACCCAGTCGTGCTACAACCATAATATAAATGCAACATGGCTCTACCAATAACTGTGTGCTCGTTTATCATCTTTCTATGAAACATATAACGTACCGTCCACCGACAATTGGCCGGTTGTGTTACGTCGATGTAGTGGTTTGCTTTTGCCACTGAGATGTGGTAATTTAGTGAATCCGCGCCAGATGACTCCATCCCCACTACGCTCTGATTGCCCTTGATTGCGGAACTGAAAGAGCACAAACCAAAGGTATTAAAATATTTTATAGGTTGTTTTTATGGCAAACGAGCACACGGTCCAACTGATGGTAAATGGTTGCTGTGGCTCATACATACATCTATCCTCGATTATGAATCAAAATGCAGACACGTTGTCACCCATGAGGACTAAGATGGAATGACGCGTATCCAGTAAAAAGGGTCTCCGGTTCTCTACACTCACCATACGAAATACAGCAGCGTTAAGCTGCTATTTTATGCTGGTATTCTGTGAGAGCATGGTCCTTCCAACTATACAATTAATATAGCTGCAGCAGCCACCACGTTAAAGCTCAAGTAGGCTCTAGTATGTGTGCTCGTTTGCCACCCTTATCCTATAAAAAACCAGATAGAGTGACGACCTGGTAAGGAATGCATGATATCGATGGATGCAGGATGCAGGTAGATCAGAACCGTGCTACATGTCATTCCCTGAGTGAGGCCTACGTTCCTTAGTGAACTTGTAATGGGCTGTAATGATGATGGTAATCTATTTGCAATTGCATTCAGTTATCATTAGGGAGACTACTTGGCCGTTTTGTCACCTATACTTGTATAAAAACAAGTACAGAACTTACCGAATTATCCTTCTTTGTTCCATGTTTTAATTCTACTGTCTGACCTCCGCTTAAATCTTCTTGGCAAGTTACAGTGCAGATCCCTGAAGGTTTAATCGGAACATCCTCACCGTCTTCTGAGAGGCTTAAATACTTGAGGCTGTTTAGAAGCGTTTTTATATTTAAAATACAGTAACTGAATTATCTGGAAGTCATAATTTTGTAAAAGATAATGTTAAAGATAAAAGATATGCAAAGTTATCTAACTGTTTATTTTAACTTTAAACACAATATTAATTACATAATAGTTTTAAAATAAAAGGCAAAAAATAAAAAGTCAATCCCGCCTACCAAGCGTGATGATTAAGGTAACTGCTCGCTACGATGCTAGATACCCATGTTCAACAGTGGATTTTGTAATGGAGAAGAGAAAAATGTATGTTTCGTCTATACTAAGTTCAATTCCCACTCGCAACATAGAAATTGTTAAACGCAATTTAAATATTTGGCCGTGGAAGGAAAAGAGGATATAACCCGCCGGGCAAGACGTTGAGCTCGGGGAGTGGCCAATCCGGAGCATTGGTAGTTGTGGTAGTCGGAGCTCTTCTATATATACCGCAGTACTTCCGCAACTTTGATAGTGCGATTTAGGCTTCGATGCGTTAAGCTTGTAGCGCGACGACAGCGCCGCCACACTGACTTTCTGTTTTGCAATTAAAGAATATCTAGGCATTTATTTACGCAATATTACAATGCGCCGAAAAACATCTGAATAAAAACTACATCAATCATATTATAATATACGATTACATTAACTCCGTCAGTCTAGCAGCACTGTTAGCAGTAAGTCCGATATTAGTGACCTTAAAACTAGTATGAGACTAAGTGAATCATCTAAATACCATGGAACACGGCAAGGTCAAGGAAACGGAAAAGAGTTTTATTTTAAAACATTGATACTTTTCTTATATGTTAAGTTAACAGAACCTTTCCTGGGTACCTGTTCTTTGGGAACCGCTCTGCTCGAAGTATAGTAAAACCGACCTTAACCATAATTATTTACATAAAAACAAATATAATCAAAGAATATGATCAAATATAGTTTTCAAGCACTCCTTACTCAAAAGCACTAGGCGGTCTGTGTTCACGCTTGCGTGCTCTTTCTGTGAACAGAGTTCGTTGAGGCTCGCGTGGTGTAAACGGGCGGCGTGTACGCAACGGACGCAAGGCACCCACGCCGCTGGACCCACTGGAGCTGCTGTTCATTTCTGTAACAATAAATGTATTAAAGAATTAAGTTGACAAACAAGCACACAGTCCACCTTTATGTGTATGCCATGACCCCTAGACACCGAAGTATCAAACTGTCTTCAATTATGAATGAAAATGCAGATGCGTATTTCTCCTTGAGAACTGAGATTAAATGCATCTTGCCTTGAAGAATGAAATGTTGAAGAGTGTATGATTCTCTTCTTCCGTCTCTCGACCAAATCGGCGATACATTGAAAATGGGCCAAATTAGGAGTACCCTTTACCGACGAGCGTGTATGCGTAGATATATGAATACCAGCGTGAAGTAGAGGTTTACCTCTGCGTTTCGCTTGGTGAGTGCAGGTGGCTGGAGGCCCTTTTTAATGTAAATGAGGCATTCCATCCTAGTCCTCACGGGTGAAAACGCATCTGCATTTTGATTTGTAATAGAGGATAGATGCAGTCGTCTATGGGCCGTGGCAACCACTTACCATCAGGTGAACTGTGTGCTCGTTTGTCACCCTTATTCTATAAAAAAAAAAATGGATGTAATGAGGCGAGAGAGGTATGTCAGGATCGCGCCAAATGGAAGTCCGTAGTCTTTGCCTACCCCTCTGGGTGACAGGCGTGAGTGTGTGTGTGTGTGTGTGTGTGTGTGTGTGTGTGTGTGCGTGTGCGTGTGCGTGTGCGTGTGCGTGTGCGTGTGCGTGTGCGTGTGTGTGTGTGTGTGTGTGTGTGTGTGTGTGTGTGTGTGTGTGTGACAGAGAGTGTATATGTGTGTCTGTGTGTGAGAGTGTGTCTGTGTGTCTATCTCTATGTGTGTGTGTGTGTGTGTGTGTATGTGTGTATATGTGTCTGTGTGTGTGTGTGTGTGTGTGTGTGTGTGTGTGTGTGTGTGTGTGTGTGTGTGTGTGTGTGTGTGTGTGTGTCTGTCTGTCTCTCTGTGTATGTGTGTATGTGTCTCTCTGTGTGTGTGTATCTCTCTCTCTCTCTCTCTATGCGTGTGTGCGTGCGTGCGTGCGTCCGTGCTTGCGTGCGTGCCTGCGTGCGTGCGTGCATGCGTGCGTGCGTGCGGGCGTGCGTACGTGCGTGCGTGCGTGCGTGCGTGCTGCGTGCGTGCGTGCGTGTGTGTGTTGATTCTCGTCACAACAACATTCGAAACACAACATCATTATATGTACTGCTTCGGCCTTCACCGGTCAAGCCAGTGCATTCGTGCTGAAAAGTGTATCTTGACCGTCAATATCACAGTCTATCCGACGGTGATTGCCACTGCGAAGTTCAAATCATACCTATGACATTTAGGCTCTAGATTTAATAAAGTTAGGATTTAATGAAATCTATTTAAAAGACAAGCTTTTATAGGCGTTGTTAGAGCCAACATCCGGATCCATCATCAGATCAACTCTATATTATTATATTATTATTGTGATATTATTGTTCAATCGTATGTCAGCAAGCTCTTCGAAAATCGATTACAAATTGTGAACTGGAAATGTAAAAACATACGAAGAAAATAAGTTACATAAAAGCTTGTACAAATTATTCGGAGCCTTCTACGAACCCTTTACCTTAGGTTGCAAGTTCAACATCATTAAATTAATCTGCAAATTTGCGAAACTTAGTAGTCAAAAAGTGAATTTAAAACGTCACAGTAACAGTTCACTATCACTATATAAGTCCACTACTAAACATAGATCGCCCCCATAGTTTGCTATAAAGTACGGTTCTAATCCCCTCTATGAGGTTATATAGATATACAGATAAATAAAAATTTTTTTTATCAAATAGTGGTAGTTAGAGAAATAAACTTTTGCGTAGTATTTAAGCTACAAAAAGTGTTTTAATATAAGAAATAGGTACTGATCGTTGAAATTGTTATTGCCCCTAGCAACTGCGTCAGTAACAGCATTCTGTAACGATCGCAACATTTCAGTTCAACCACCTTGAAGGCGAATGTGAATATTTCCACAAATTGCCCCTTTCGTGCGATTGACTAAATTACTTTGTACTGTGAAAAGTGAAGGCTTTGGTAATCTGACATTGATAAATAGATACATGTAAAGAAAATGTAATTAGCCTACCTAAGACAATGTATCTCTCAAGTAATACATATTATATTAAATTACATTGTTTAGTGCGATTGCCAAGTCAATTTATTAATTTAAAACATAAAAGATTTTTAGTATTGATATGGTCACTATAAGATGTTGTTAGGTTAGCTAATTACGTAATAACTTAAGACAGAAGTACCCTTAAGTAGGGACTGAATAAATTAACCGACTTGGGTCTCACAACTTTTTACGGTAGAAGAACTGAGTTGCGAGACTTGGTTTTTTTTACAAGTTATGTTTTTCGTAGCATCTCATTTCTTTTTGTAGATAGTTATATCTAGGTACCTATCTAAAGCTATTATTCCATTATATCATACATATATAGGTACACTGATTCATTCACTGCAAATGTAACTTTGTAATCCGATATATTTATATGGGATTACAAAGTTATTTATGCAGTTGGTGTATCTCGAAAACTAGACCGAAGTTACAAAATATTTTAGTTTTCCCTTGATTTATATACTAAGCAATAATTGTATTCCAAATTTGAAGCTTCTATGTCTGCTACAAATGCCTTAGAGTTTTGATGATCGCTCAGTGAGTGAGTGACAAAATTAAGAAACTTTGACTAGTTATAATTCTTAAACTACTGGTTCAAATTTAATGAATATATAAAATACCGAGTTTATACAATGCCTACTTGGTTACTGATTCAGGTTTCTAATTTTATCCACAACAAAGTTATAGAGTTTCGAAAATGCCCTGAACTGCTTTGAGAAAAAGATGGTACGGTCGTGCCGCTTTTTTGCTCGACTTGGCGGGGGCACTGCCGTGCTCCCAGACTACTATTAAGCAAAATTAAATTTTTAAAAATTATGTATTAACATTATTAACATAACACGTTCATATTCTTATATTGTCATCCGATTCTGAGCTAGGTTCAAAATTTTATGTCCCTAGCTCATCGGGAAATCAATTTAAAATCAATTATTGAATTCGGCCCGAACAGACATATACGAAAACAGTTAATAAAAACGCGATAAAAAACAAAAACAGTAAATAAAAGTGCAATAATCTAATATAAGAAAAAATACTATAAGTTATAAGTCATCATCATCATTACAGCCCTTGACAAGTCCAAGATAAACTCGGTACCTCATTTTTTTCAGTATATCAGTAGTACGAGAGCAACTCGGGCTCGACTCCCGCCGGAGACAATGAAATTAACTGCAATTTTAAGTACTGATTTACCTCGCACTCAGCGATAAACACGGTATCGAGCCACTTGCATCCGTCGATTTCATTAATATCTTACACTCCATTTAGTGTGGGGGTTCTCTAAATTTCGTTCGTAAATACTCGTTTTCTGGCTAGAAGTCCGTCTAGATAGGTACCACACTCTCAGCTATTTCTGCCGTCAAATGGCATTACTCGCACTATTGTATTCTGGTCCGAAGAATATAGATAACCAGTAAAGCCAAGACATTCCATCTTAGTCCTCACAAGTGACACCACATCTGTAGCCTTCGTTGTTTAAAGTTAGCTGCAAGTGACCATGGACTACCACTTTCTACGAGGTGGACTGTAGGTTCGTTATTCACTTGATATAATTTAAAATTAAAATTTTGTACAATCGACTTCAATAATATTAATAAGAATAACACAAAACCTATTGGGCAGACCTTGATCAAATTATATGGGACCACATGTGAAGTACCAGCTTTCAAATAAAAAAAGAATCATCGAAATTGGTTCAGCCAGTAAGGAGTTATGAGGTAATACACATAAAAAAACATACAGTCTAATTGAGTATCGTCTTCTTTTTGAAGTCGGTAGAAAAAAAAGACTAAAAATCTAATAGAAAGTTTTTATGTTTGGAGGATCACCCATATCCATAATGAATAATATAAAGAATTTGCTGTAATCACACAATGTGTCACAAGTGACACCACATCGGTAGCCTTCGTTGTTTAAGGCTTTTAGTTCGGTGATAAGATGTTTTGGATTAATTTTTGTCGTTAGTTTTTTCTCCTCAGTTTGTAACTCGCGCAGAATACTATTTGCTAGAGTTTCTCCCACTGTTGAGAAGTAGCCATTGCACTTGTCCAAGGAGTGATGAGCGTCCGTCGTCTGTTCAATCTTTAGTAATCCATGAGGTTCATGTTTATTTGTAGGGACATGACAAATGCCCTTTATTGAACTCAATAAAATTTTTTTGGATTATTTAAATTAATAGATAAGTTATAGCTTTGGTATTTTTTTAAGTGTTCGTAACAAGTCGTTACAAAAATTGCGATAGTGAATATAAGCATCTAATTCATTAGAGAGTGTCGTTTCATTAGAGAGCTGCAAGTGACCATAGACTACCACTTTCTAGTAAAATTGAAACCGGCGATTGTTTTGAATTTTTGACACAAAGTCGCATTAGAATACGCATGTGTTTTTACATTTCAAAAAAGAATTAAAAACTACTTCAAGATATTTTTCATACTTTTTATCATATATATATTTATATACCTACTATATTTTTATAGTACAGAAATGTTTGTGTTTTGTAATCAAGTTGTAAAAAGATAACACTACATTTGTTAATCACACCCGTGCGAAGTCGGACAGTATCTAGTAAAATATAAAGCAGGAAGCCTGTATCGTGTATTCTTTTAAAATATCATAATTAAGTCTATGAATGTCCACAGCTGAACTTAGGCTTTGCCTCATATTATTAGAATGGAATGGAATGGAATTTTTCAATTCTTCTATTTTAAATTTCCTGTTTCAATTTTCCTATGTCGAATCTAACGACTCACACTTCTTTTTAATATAACTCCTCGGCATAACAAAACTCATGAAAATACATTGTTATGACGTCAATTGCGCCAAAAAATGTTTATATTCGTGATACGATGTCGTCCATTAACCCCATGCGACATTGGCAAGGTGAAAGTAATTTTATGCTAAATCTCGATAAAACTTACCCATGATTAAGTACCTATTAAGAATGAGGTCATACATGGTGGTTTGGTGGCACATCTAAACGATGCCCTTCCGGTGTCCCATATTTTTTCTAATAAAAATACTAGTAATGCTATTAAACATTACTAATATTCCCTGTAACCACTTCTGGTAAGCCTAAAATGCTTGTGTTAGAAGTGGTTCACGACAGTAGTCGAATGGTGAATTCGAACCCACGACCTTTCTAGTTTGCGGTCCGCGCCCTGCCATTAGGCTCACTGACGCTTTTAAATTTGCGAACTGCAGCTATTCTTATGGTTGCAGCGTGGCTTAATCGGGAAAGGATGTCTCCCTCACAAAATACCAGCAGAAAATATCAGCTTAATGTTGCTGTGTTTCATATGGTGAGTATAAAGAACCGGATACCCTTTTTACACGTAACGAGGCATTCTACGAGTATCTAAGTCCACAAGGGTCCACAATGCTTCTACATTTTGGTTCTTCATCGAGGATTGATGAAGATATCTATTGGCCACAGTATGCATTTATAAATAGGTGGATTGTGTACTCGTTTGTCAACCTTATTTAAAAAATAACACACCGTGCGGTGCGACACAGGAGCGGTAAAGCAATCAATATTTTTTATTCCTTTTTCGTCTACAGGGTTTTTAGCGTGTAAAGGGTTTTTTAGCTTGAAAAAAATCTGATTGCATGGCGAAGCCACATTAGCCGTGTGGCGCCCTGGACAATATGAGAGCCTTCCTTTTTTATTGTTTTAAATAAGCAGTGATTTTTGTCTACGATACGATACGATTTATCTCTATACATAAAAAACAATTGCTGTCTGTTAGTCTCGCAAAAACTCGAAAATGGCTCGACCGATTTCGATGATTTTTTGTGTGTTTTTGACTGGGGTCCCTGACTCAGTTCGACCCGATAATTGAGGCTGTTGTCGAGATCCAGAATTCACCTGTACAAAGCCGGGGCGGAGCGCTAGTATATAATAATAACAATTATATAATTATTATTTCCTACAGAGCGAATATCAATCACGGCAGTCAGTCTCACCGAATCTGTGCAGCACCATTATCTTTAGTGCAAGAGTGTGTGAGTAAGAACAGGTACACTCTTTATTTCCTCATTCTCATAGTCAGATAGAACACTACCAGCCGTACCAACGGCTTTACGTGCTTTCCGAGGCAAGAGAGTGAAACATCGCCAACTTCCTGACTCCGGGTTGCTACAGAGTTTCTTGACAGAACTAAACTGAACTTGAACTCTACCTCGTTGTCTATAATTTAGTCTAGAAAACTATCAAGAGACTTGATAGTTTTCTTTTTCCTGAATACTTGTAGTCAAATATAGGTACTGTTGTTGTATTAAACGAAATTTTGTGGAAATAAATAGTTTTTTAACATGGATGGAATAAAATTGATACGGTCCGCTTTGGGAACAACGGATAAGCTATGCCGGACCGTTAATCATTTATTTTCATTTTATTTGGAAAAAAACAACTTAATAGTAATAGATTTACGTTAGAAAGTAACAAATGCATATAAACCTAACGCTATTAACATGTTTTCACAAATACATTTACTAAAAAACTAACCGATCGAAACATCTCGAGAAATATGTATATTATGTACTCAAATCACTAAATTAATCAAAACATTGTTTTTTTTAACAAAAGCTGCTTTATCGTCTGTATAGGTGCCCATGGTGTTATGCATGCATGGTGATATGTTGCCCATGGTTTTCGTATATAGTGTGATCACCCTAAGTGCAGTTATCAGATCCCGTGATCTCCATTCAGAATACATGTAGTGCCTAAGGCACTGTGTTGTACTTGTGAGGCGTGCTGTAGCCGCTCGAATATTTAAATTACACCTACCATCAAATATAGCAGCTCGAGCTTCACTGATTATCTCAGCGGAGGTCTTTCGTCGTGGCGGGGCGTAGAAAGGAGTGCCCGCACCACGTCTCAATCCTCTATCGGCCATTGCCAAACCTGTATAACAAAAAAACATCATTCAGTCATACTTGTCCCATAAATTTTAAGTGTTTAGACAAAAGAACATACGCCTACGTAAGAAGTACGTGATTTTTGTTTTTTTTTTGTTTATCCAACTGCGACGGATCCAGAAGGAAAGTAAATTGCCTGGTATTAATTTATGTAGACTTTATTTACACGACAAGTTTAAAAGCGGATTAACGACTTAAAGTGTTTTCTATACTCAACCAATAAGTAAGCTGAGAACAGTAATTTGGAGGTGCAGTAAGATTTGTAAATGAGGATAAAAGGTCAACATAATAAATGCAATCCATAAATACATAATAAATTGAATAACTTTGTACAGTGGCGGTGTAAGAATATCCACTACCCCATATCATCCCGTGGGTGTCGTAAGAGGCGACAGAGGGAAACAAATCAGGAGATGGGCAGCAGCGTCTTGCTATAACGTCTAACAATAATAAACTCCGGTTACCAATCCGCTTGCCACGAGTGGCAACTATGGTAAATATCTTGCTTATGTTCAAAAGTGGACTTCAATAAGCTGAAGTACACATTTATTATACTTAAGTACATACGCATTTATACACATATAATATATATGTATCACATATAATATACAACACATACATATTTAAGCGTCAGTAGCCTAATGGCAGGTTGCAGACCGCGTGCTCGAAAGGTCGTAGGTTGAAATCCGCCATTCGACTACTGTCGTGAGCCACTTCTATCACAAGCATTTTAAGCTAACCAGAAGTGCTTAAAGGGAATATTAGTAATTTTAATAACATTTCTAGTATTTTTTTAAATAAAAAAATATATATAACATAGATACTTAAATATATACAAACGACGTATTATAAGTATGTATACCACAATATATTTTTATAAACCGATACCAAACGAAAATTAAGCCTGACAAGTGTCGAGAAATAAGTCAATGACCTCCCGCTTAAAAGAAACGTACTTTTTGTCTCTTAAAAAACGTCACCGCCACACTAGGATTTTCTCCTATATCGTGGAGGCAGTTTACAAACATAAATTGCACAAGGACAAACTTAATATGTCCGTAACTCCTAAGTAAATCATCGAAGTTTAATGTGTTATCTTTTATGCGTTTGTGCAGCAAAGATACACCTATTGCCATATAATATTGTTGTAAATGTGGAATGTCATTCCGGTGTAAGTCTTCGGAAGACTTTATTTTATGTTGGTAGGTAACCGTAGACTGTTTTATACACACCATTCAGGTAATTATTAGCTCGTTTGGTACTAAAATGTGATTCTAAACTATATTCCAACACAACCCGAAACAATCAAACTTAAAATACAAAAACACTTGAGAGGTTGGACCTAATATAAATAAAAATATACGAAGAGTGCTATATAACATTACTATTATTGTGTATGCCTAAATTGTGAAGAAATAAAGAAATAATTACTCAATTATTTGTTTATATTTATCAGATAGCATTTGTCCAATTTTCTGGGCATTGACATGGGCACTTTATTTATAAATTACTTGCGTTAATCGTCACTTTTATAAATTAATGTTCAAGTTTCAGTAAATTAAAGTAATAAAATTCTTAGTAATGTCCCAATGCTGCCCTTTTGTTTATTTATTTATTTAAAAATTTATGTACACACAAAGTATAATGTTACAATGAAAAATAAAAAGATATTTGTACTAAGGCACTGCTTATTTCATATTGAAATTTCTTGCAGCAGACCCGACACTGCACAGACACAAATATTCAAATTAATTTCTGAGAGAGTTAAAGTTATATTATCATTATTTCAACGTGACGCGCCAAAACTTAAAAGCACATCCCGTAAACTAACTACATAAAATTTACATTCAAACTATTTAAAAATTCTTAACCTCTTACCAAAAAACTATCTCAACAAATATAACGCGTATTATATCATAAAGATAAAACAATTTATCACGCAAAATACTAACACAGTTTCGTCCACCTACGTCTAAAGGGCGGGCGGCGCGCTACGAATCACAAGCCTAACTGTTTATGAACATTCGTAGCTAAACCGTAGTCACGTAGCAAGGGGATTGTAGTAATAGGTATAGTCTGTTCACTAAGATAGTGTGTGTACACCCGGAGGCGCACTTATTTTATTACTTTTACTGTGTTTGTTAAATACATGTTTTTTTAGTCTAAGAATAAAATATTATTCTATATATTTATTTAGTAATATATTCATAATATGGTTATTGTAATAAAATACGAATATAAATAATAAACAAAAGTTATATATCTAAGAACCTTTCACTACGGCGCTTCGTTTTAAAATACCCCATTTTCCTGTGGGTTTACTTTTGATGTCGCGGTGGCGCGTTTGACAAGATGCGGCACGTGCCAAGGCGGTGTGAACAAAGGCGAACGTATCTAAGCGAACAGACTATAACTACTTGTGTGGTCTGGTCTGCCTGGGCTTATTACTCACTCATTTCTTATCAATCACTTGACTGGAATACTTCAGTTACCAATATGTGTTATTAATTTCGTTTAAATACCTATTATTGTATTTTGACCTTTAAAATGACAAAAATGACATATGCTGTGTTTCTTTCACCGTTTCTTTTTTTTTTTCAGAAAACCTCATTTGAAATGGTAGTACACTAAACTACGACGTTCAATTAACGAAATTATAAATTTTTATAAGAAAGAAAGCTATATCATTTCATTTCCTTCCTCTGATCATCTAATCTAATGTATACTATATTTTTTAATTATATTAAACATAGCCTAGACTCTTCGAATTTTAAAGATATTATTAGATAATAATGTCCTCCAGACCGGATTTCTGTCACGATGCCGAATTTCTGTCTCAACGGAGACTAGCTAGATGACATGTGCAGATGCGCAGAACAGAATTAGTAATGGGTGTGTGCGCAAGCAAAGGTGCACTCTCTATTCCTTCCCTTTCATAATCTGCGGAGAGAGATCAAGCGTAGGACCAACGATTTTAAGTGCTTTCGGAGGCACGGGTATGAAACTTTTGAAGGTTGAAAGTTTCTTAACAGAAAATCCAATATTTTTTTAGTCTGACAAAAATGCAGCTTTATCCCTCACTTCACTATGTTTAGTAGTGAACTTGTGACAGATAGTAAGGCTAATTAACTGATGATGATGATGATGAGATGAAGATGAACGACACTACACTATTGCTCGCTTATCACTGATAATGTCATGTAATCAAGGACATGAATTGATTAAAAAAGTAGAAAACCATTTTGAAATGAAATATGAGATGAAAATGGAGATACGAGTACAAGAAAACAGTTTCTGGTTTGAAACTCGGACAAAAACAAAGTTTTTACAACTTACATAATTTAATGAAAGTTGTAGCCTTTTTTCCCACAGTTAGGCATAGGCGTTCTCGTTTCTGAGAGGGTAATAAAGCAATAGCTTCACTAACAATATGCAAACTATAATAATTACTGATTATAACAATAAATACTTATTAGTCCGCCGCGCTGGTCGAATGCGTGATGGCGGACTTCGCATGTTCTAGAAAATATTTTTGTTTCTAAGATATGCAGGTTTCCTCACAATGTTATCCTTCATCGCCGAATACGTAGTAAGTCAGTAATTAAAATTGCAATTAACAGTTTCATTGCCGGCGGATATCGAACCTGGGCTGCTCGCATAGGTACCTACTGCAAAATTTAACAGCGAGCGTTTAACCTCTAAGCTACCGCGACTCTTAAATAAATTTTAAAAGCAACAGGATGATAACATATAAGCATTTCACTTGTGGACAAAGCCCTTTGATGATGAAACGGGACCATGGAATTTTAAGTTACAGCCATACGTACGTTCCACTGTTGTCCACACCCACTCTTTCTAAGAGGTTTTTGGGGAAGGAAAATGTCCGCTTTCCTGCTACCCCAAACTGTAGTATAGAGATAATCAAGACGTGAATTCCTGTCCCCTAAATCATGTAGAAACCTATAATTTAGGGGTCAGTAAGGCTAAAAGCTTTACAAATCTTTACATGATACGTGATGAATATTAGATACAAAATGAAAAAATTATTACACATTAGGCACTTCAACTACAGTCATTAATCATAATATTCCTCGAACCTCGAACTCTGACCTACATATCAAGATTCCACGTTGATTTTTAATAATGACTTTCAAAACGGGCCATCATCGCTCTGGTAGTGTGCGTGATTTCACTGTCTTACACTCGTACCGACTGGGCACTTAATTGGACATATATTATACAGGGTTATTTTTTAAAGAGTAGCCAAATTTTAAACTTAAGTTCAAATATATAAATAATGATATACCGTTATTGCAGTTTTTAAAAATACGAGTAAATAAGATTTCTACTTTTATTTGAAATTATCCCAAATTGGATGTGATTTATGGCCAACAGTTCAAAGTCAGCCTCTTCGGATACCGTGGTATAATAATATTGAAATGAATAGAAACCATATAATTGCTATTGATAGGTTACGTTCTGGGCACTATCTCAATAAAAAAATTGTATTTTTGATGAAAAAATCAGACTCGCCCAATTGCGATATTTGTCATATTATAGAAAATGTCCAACATATGCTAGCATAATGTGTCAAATATCAAAGGGAAAGGGAGAATCTGGTGAAAAAATTTAATATCAATTTGAGCGAAACCGGTTGGGTTTTGAGTATTGCAGAACCACACTCAGTGGTAGCAAAATCATTCATTTCAATATTCTTATCACATTGATTCCCCCTTTCTAAATAGCATTTGTGTAACACGAATAAGTTAGGTTACGATAAGGCTAACATATGCTTGTACGAGTAGGATAAAAGCCTTTTTAAATAAAGATAGATAATTAAAAAAAAAACTTGTACGACGGACATTATTATAAAGTAGATGTATAACTATAGCTTTAAAATGTCTCACTAGGTATCTCGCTAATTGTAGGAGGATGATGTAAGTTTTTATCGAATTTAAAATACTGTACTTAAAATACT